GTGCGGCGCACATCTGCATGGAATTTCTAAAGTACGTTCCATGGACAAATGGACGGCAGCCAACGCCACCATCTTTTGCCACAACCGCCACGCCACGCCAGGCAACTTTCGTGCTGTGCTGTGCTGTGCTCTGCTCTGCTCTGCTCTGCTGTGGCACATTCATGGATAACATAGCTACTAGTCGTACCAGCAGCCATTCCTATTCCGTAGCTGCTTGTCTGTTTGTATATTTGGCGGCATGGCGGCGAGAACCTCAACCGTAACATGCAGAACCTTTAGTGAAAAAATACACTAAAAGAAATTGTTTCGACATTTTCTATCAATCAAAGAAAGAAGGAGAGAGATCTACATATTTTCATAGTTTCGAGTTCGAGTTCGACTTCGATTTTGTATTAAAATAGTATTGGAAATGCAAGAAACAGAGCAAAATATCATTTGGCAATCCTAGCTTTAAGCCTGCTCTAAACTACAAATTAAAATATATGTATTCCATCCATCCGAAAAGCAGTTACATTTTTTTTTTTTGGTGCTGTGTATTCCAGACTAAGGCGTTGCGGCCTGCGCGTGCGGTGTTCAAGCTTGGCATTATAATTTCTTGCTCCGCATAGAAGCTCACACACACTCGTACAACGCCGACGTGTAGATTCAGGGCGCACATTTTAACACTCTCAACAATAAACAGCATGTCACTTAGCTCAAACTTCAAAAGTGCGCCAGTCTGGGGCTCTGGACTTGGGGCTGGCTATACATAAGTAGGATTTGAGCCGGGGCAGAGCGATTGGGAAGGAGTTTGGAGTTGGAGCCCTCCAGGCCTTTGACTGGAAGGAGCCATCGTCGCAGTCACCGACATCGTTATGCGAATGCCGCCAGCATGCTTCCGTGCCGTGGCAAAGTTTTTTTATTTGTCATCGTCATCGTTGGCGGCAACGGAATTCGCCTGACAACAAGACGGCGACGACGACGGCGCTGGCGGAGACAACGACAAAGTTCTGCACCCGCGTTACAGGGTGGGTGTGGCGATGGCTGCCACGGGGGGGGGAGCGAGTTGAGTTGAGGTCGTTGATGGGTGCTGGCGATAATAAACAGACCCAGACCGAGCGCGAGACACACACACATCCGTACGTTCACCACCGCTCCGCCGCACCACTCAAGACGAGAGCCAGCGGCGAAACGGCATGAAAAGGGCGTGCACACTGCAACTGAAGTGTGACATTGTCGGGCACAAGAAGTGTAGTGCCTGGTCCGCTGATCGTAGGGAGAAATACAACAAAGTTACCCGAAAAAGTAGGCAACACATTAAATTGATATACGGGCTAGATCAAGAAATACTCGAAATTTTGCACTTAAAGTGAAGAGCATTGCTAGTGTTGTAAAGTATTATTTGATATTATTTTCCGAACAAGTAGTAAGAATCCCTACGTAGTATCCCACTGTACTTGTAAGCGGTTTGATTGTCATGGCAATTCGAAAGCATTTGTCGGTCGCTCGCCCCCCGCGCGCAGACACAAAATCCCACACCCAGCCACATGGCCTCACTCCAGGGCGCACTCCCATTCCCCCAGTTGCGGCACACAACTGAGGCAGAAGCAGCAGCAGCAGCAGCAGGAGCAGCCACTTGCCACATTTGGCTTTCTGCCAGAGCCAGACTCCAGGACTCGTGCTGCCTGTGCCAGCAGTGCGGTGGGTGCGGCAACGGCAACGGCAACGGCAACTAAAAATGCGACGTGCGAGATTATCGTGTCGCTTGTTGGTCGTTCCATCCCATCCGTACACAAACACACGAACACGTACCACCCCATCCCTTTGTTGTTGGTGTTTCTGTGGCTGCGCACAAACTCTCCACCCACTCTGGCAGTGTATCCGCCCCCCAGTGTATCCCAGCACCGCCATCTCTTCGACAACTTACTGGCGCTGACGGAGGCAACTGCTGACTGCTACTTATGGCGTTGATGATGGCACAATGACAACAACAACCAAACATTTCGGATCACGAGTGGACTAAATGATACCCAGAGATTCGGGCACTACAACTATATTTTCGATTTCTACAGTTTTCAGCATTCATAGTGTTGTAAACTGGGTAAAAACAGAATTGGTAAACGATCGATGAACGGGTTTAACTTTAAAACATAAAAAATACATATCTGAGTGCGCCTGCATTTTTGGGGTACATATTTTGTGGCAAGGCCCAATATAGACATCGCACCCAGCAGCTAGCCCGAGCCAGAAAGTATGCAGCGTGCGCACGCGAGGATAACGACTCGGCGGAGGACGACAACAAGCCCGACACACACAGAGTGTGTGTGGACGTGGGATGAAAATAGGGAATGGGTACAGCGACAGGACAGGGGGCAGGGAAACGATGTGCCGCTGCTGCTGCTGCTGCTGTGTGCGACTAATTGGGTGAGAGAATGTGGGTGCTTAAATTGGTTTCGTGCTTTCGTGTGACGCGTGCGGAGGCGTGTAAAGCTTTTGCCTCGGTGTGCGTGCGTGTGGGTATGTGGTTGTGCGTGGGTGTGGGTGTATGCGAGTGTGCAGGCGACAGGCTGCCCTGCTGTTCCTGGCTCTCGTTTTTGCCGTTGTTGTTGTTGCTGGCATGAATGCTTGATGGCGTGACGGCAGCCGGTTCTTGCCAGCAATTGGAACGGCGCGGTGGCCAGGGGGAAGGGGAGCCACAGGCCGGCAGCCAGCGAGGACGACGCCGACACCGACGACTGCGACGACAACTACGACTCCGATGGAGGAATGAAAAAAAAAACCAAATACAATTTGCCTCGCCTGGATGTGAATTTTATTTTTTCTTCCTTTTTTCTGCTGCTCTCACAATTTTACTTTTGTTGTATTGCTCTGTGTGGTGGCGGGAGAGGCGGCGGAGGTTGGGAGTGGAGAGTTCGTGCAAGGACTTATCATCTCTGCTGCCCACACCCCCCGCTGTCACAGCTTGTTTATGCCATTTTGTTTATGCTGCCCACATGACGTGCACTGCGCACTTTTTGCTCATTTTGATATTTTTTAGTTCCTCCAACTGATGGTGGGAAGGGGGAGGGAGGGGTTTCAGATACGGAATTCATGAACTCCTCTTGGACGACGAGCTATTTCGTCGCGCCTCATCCAATGCATTCGAATCCTGGACCAGTATGATCATGTGCTCGTTCTCAGCTGCCACCAGAATCTCACTCTTAAGTGTTCGCATCCGCAGATACGTAAGATCATCCGTGGGCTCCACCTCGCGCACCATGGCGCGTGCCATCTTCACCATCGGTGCCATTTTTTCCGCAAATATGTGGCTGGACGTTGCATCCATGGATGTGCGAATGGGTCTACCCTCGCCATTGACCAGTATGGCGCCCATGACGCCCGGCAGTTTCAGCAGGCGATCGAATGTCGCCTCAACGTCGGACATTCTGTGTCTGCGTGTGCACCGCCGACCCACAATAATCAAACGGTTAATTTTTTCATAGGCATCTCAAATGGGGGAATTTTGCTAGTTTTGGGACAGTTGTACGGGCGGAATATATTTCACGGCATGCCAGGATGTCCAGATTTAAGGCAAGTTTGGAGGTTGGAGTTTCAAATCACAGACGTCGTCTAGTCCTAGAACCGCAGTTGATTGTTAATCCAATCAGTGGTCCAATTAACTCCATGAGGCGAGTTGCAACTCCATTTGGGAGCTCTGCTCAACCCGACTCTGACTATAGGCATGGGTCACATTATGCAAGCCTTGCAGAAGCCTTTCGCTGGAGTCCTTGTCAAAGGTTGGACCTTATCCGGTGTTACAGCACGCGGCACCACCAAAAGCGCACAGTGGGAAAGTAACGAGGGGGCGAGGGCGCCGTGACTCGACTCGACTCGTCTCGTCACGGCGCCACCACCCATGCTGCAGAGAGCAATCATTTCTGGCAGCATGCTGCGTTGCCTGGCGGCATCAGCCAGCACAGACGACGACGACGACTGCGAAGGTTGGGGGTCACGTAAATGGCGTTGAATTACAGCCCGACAATCGAAGCGTTGAAGTCTCGAACTTAAGAGTTACGTCTGCGCCGCCACCACCACCACCGTGGAGGAATACACGGCCCACACCCACACAGCCGTAGGCCAGCCACGCCACCGCCCACTGCTTTGCCTGTGTGCATCATTTATAAGCCCGGCTAGGCCACAGATTGTCTCGGCGGCGGCGACGACGGGTCGAGTCGACTTGAGTCGAGTCGAGTGCGCACGCACGCCACCAAGCCGATGATGAGCTCAGGACGGCAAAGCAACAACAAAAAGATGTTCAACTTTATGACTGTGGGTCTTTGGGTGTCACGTGCGGGTACGGGTCCGGGTCCGGGCTTGCATGTTGTATAATTCATTGGCCGTAGTGAACCCCTTTCGGTGTGCGGAACTATTTATTCAATAATTCGTCGTAAAAGGTTAACACGGAGCAACGCCACGCAGGAAAATGCCACGAAACTGGCACAGCGGCGCTGTAGGACACCCACAACTTTTGGACATTCCCAACTTTGCGTAAAATATTTGTGGCGTATGGGGCCATATTTATATGTCACTTACCCAATGATTTCAGGTGTTTGCCCATCTTAAATTCACACAAGACGTGATCAGCATGTTTATCTGGCACTCCCTCCAATCAGCCACACGCCGGGAGGTTATGTTCTAGGCCAGAAGATCACTTAAGCTTAAGCACAGAGTGCACACTCGAAACACTTTTTAACACTACCGTAGCCGAATATTAAACTAAGAAACGCACATTATCGACCACACTATGAATCAAAAGCTAGTTACAATTAAACAAAACGTGATTTGCAAAATGAACGGTAAATACCGAGAAGTCACTGCCAACTTTTGCCAAATGAAATTGGCGCGAAAAATTACTGACATGCAGACTGCCAACTTGTACAAAATAGCAGCAGTAAATAAATACCAAATTTGATATGGCCAACACTTTTCCGTGTTGTAAATGGCGAAATATATTTGAATACAAATTTAGAAACGGCGGCAAGTTATAACTATTAAGTTCCATTTATTTTTAATAGTTTAAGTACACTCTGTGTCATTTTCGTATACTCCAACACAAAACCCATGCATCTCAAGATCCCTTTTTCCGTATATTGTCATTTAATCGGCTACTATAAGCTATAGTTTTGACGAGGTATTCGGCTATAAATATTAGAGAATGTGTTTCTGGGCCTAAAATGATACAAGAATTAGTACAGTACTCATAAATTGATAACTTAATTAATGCTTACATCCTGTGCCACTTTAAGTAAATGCTCGAAGCTGGATTTTCCCGTCTGCATAACCATGCCATGGAATACTTTGCTTTCGGACTTGGTTAACAGCTCGTAGGGGGATCCAAACTCCACAACACGGCCAGCATCCAGAACCATCACTTTGTCCGAGTCCATAATAGTGTTCAGACGATGGGCTATCGTTAGTACAGTGCAGTCTTTAAACTTGTTGCGAATGGTGGTCTGGATGAGGCCATCCGTTTGGGGATCCACATTGGCCGTGGCCTCGTCCATCACCAGAATGCGATTCTCGCGCAGAATGGCACGAGCCAGACACACCAACTGACGCTGACCCACGCTAAAGTTGGTGCCACCTTCGGAAATGCTGCTCTGCAGGCCCGTTGGCAGCTCAAAAATGACCTCCTTAAGATGTACCTGAAAAGAAGAGAGATCATGAGCATCTCCTATAAATATTGTGAGGATAATTCCAGATCCTACCTCTTCCAAGGCCTGCCACAGCTTATCATCCGGATACTGCTCAAAGGGATCCAAATTGTAGCGCATTGTGCCAGAGAATAGCACCGGTTCCTGGGGAATAATTGAGATCTTGCTGCGCAGATCGTGCAGTCCCATCTCACTCGTGTCCCGCTTATCGATTAGGATGGATCCATCGTTGTAGGACAGCCGGAATAGCGCATTAATCAGCGAGGACTTACCCGCTCCTGTGCGTCCCACGATGCCCACCTTTTCACGCGGTTTGATGACGAAATTCAGCGACTTGAGCACTGAATCCGTTTCGGGATCGGGCGCATATCGCAAACTTAAATCCTTGGCCACTACTTGACCCTCTTCCGGCCAACTCTTTGGCGGTGTTTTGTCATTTACAGAGGAAAACTCGCCCTCTGCCTGCAGATTCTTATACTCGAGGACACGCTCCACCGATGTCATCGAGTTCTCCAGCTCGGCCGATTGTCGCATGCCCCACTGAACCATGCCCGTCATGCCCAGAGCCTGGGTGATGGCCAGGCCAATCTGGCCAGGATTGCTGACTGGCGGATTGAAGAAGCTATTGAGGATCACCGACACCACATAGGCCACGCAGAAAAGGTCCAAATAGTAGCCAAAGGCACGACTGGTAGAGATGAATGTGTAGTAGCCGGAGCTGTGCAGATCCTGATAGTTGTCATACTCCCGGATCAATGTCCTCTGGGCGCCCAGGGCCCGGATCGTGGGCAGTCCGTTGAGCGTGGCACTAAAGTGCGAGTACATGGGCGAGCGGGCCACCGCCTCGAGACGCTTCACATCGCGTGACGTCTTGAGGTAAAACTCCCTCCAATAGTAGAAGGCCAACACCATGGCGATGGTGTTGATCAGGTACCAGGGATTGGTGAGGCATAGCACACAGATGATGCCCGTCAGTGTTAAAAAGATCTGAATGCAGTCCAGCATGACAGCGGGCAGCATCTCGTCCACCTGCCCTAGGTCCATGGCGAAACGGTTCAGAATCCTGCCCGAGGGATTCGTGTGAAAGAAATACAACGCAGTGCGCGACACACCACGGAACATGGTGTTATGCAGCTCCGTGGACGAGTGCATGGTCATACTGAAGAACAGCAGCGTGCGCAGCAGGGCACAGATCACCAGCCCAACGTTGATTGCCGCAAAATAGTAAATGTCCAACGAAGAGGAAGACGTGGCGTTGTTTTTGACCCTATTGCAAGAAAAATTATACTCATTAAAGCTTCATTCCACCATACATATTCCCCTACTCACCAATAGGACAGAAAGTAATCGCCGCCAGAGGCCAGGAGTTGTGTGCCAGCGCACAGTGCGGCCAGTAGGGCAAACGTTAGCACCCCACAGCCAGCTGCAAAGTATTTCTTGTACATGGACAGACCGATCTTGCCGCCACTGCGCGATTCCTGCACCTGCACCGAGCTCGGCTTCGGTTTCTCCTTCTCCTTCTCCTGTGGCACCAAAGACTCCTGGGAGGACGCACTGGCAGTGCTTTGAGTGCTGCTCTGGCGGGAGAGCGACTTAGTTCCATTTGCATCATCGCCAGCTCCGCTCTCCTCGTTTTGGGTGCTCTCTGCCAAAAGTTGTGCAAAATCCTGTCCACTCTGGAGCATTTCCGCATAGCTGCCGATGGCCGTGACCTTCCCTTTGTCCATGATTACAATCATATCGGCCTGCTCCAGAAACTGCAGCTGATGCGTGACCAGAACGACTAGTTTGTGGCGTAGGAATCCCCGCATGCATTCATCAAACAGATGCCTACCCACATGGGTGTCCACGGCGCTGAGGGGATCGTCCAGTAGGTATACATCCGCCTTACGATACACAGCCCTGGCCAGGCTGATTCGCGCCCGCTGGCCACCCGACAGCGAGGTTCCACGCTCGCCCACAATCGTTCCATCGCCATTCAGCAGATCCAAGTCCCGCTCCAGGGCGCACTTCTTCACAACCGTGCGATAGCGCTGCTTATCCATGGGCAGACCAAACAGAATATTGTCCCGCACGGAGGCGTTAAACAGCCAGGGCTCTTGCGAGGCATACGAGAACCTTCCGTGCACATTGACGCCTCCCGCTTCGGGGGAGAGTTCTCCTAAGATGGCTTGGATGAGGCTGGACTTGCCAGCGCCCACTGGTCCAATGACAGCCACCAATTGCTGGCGTCGCAGCGTCATGTTGATGTTGTCAAGGACTGGATCGTGAGGCTCTGGACTCCAGCGTGCTCTCAAATCCTTGATATCCACCAGCACATCGGGCTTATAACCATCTCCCATCTGATCGGAATGCTGCTCATTCTCCGCCAGCAAACGTTGACTCTCGGCGGGTTCCTCCTCCACTTGATACGGCATATGATCCACATTGGACTCGTCGCGAATCATAAAAGTCCTGATGCGACGCAGCGAGACCAACAGCTCGGCAAATTGCGACATTCCAGCGGGAAAGAACTTGGCCACTGTCCGCCTCAGGATATTGTAGAAGGCCGTCACACAGAAGGCCCGCTCCGCAGTGAGTTCGCCGCCGAGGAGGACGAACCCCATGAGGCTGACAAATATGGCAATGCGTCCCAGGGTGATCTCGAAGGACAGAAGAACGCCGCGCAGCAAATTCACCTGACGAATGGAGCTCATCTCGCTGCGTCGCAGCTGCTCGATGAGCTTGCCGAAGGGCCGCTCCCAGGTGTACATTTTGATCACCTGTATGCCCGAAATGATCTCGTTCATCATGCGCACCCGCTGGTCCGTCCGCAGAGCGGTCTGCAGACGCAGCGTGGAGGTGACTTTGCTCAGATACGTTTGCAGCGGCAGGTAGAGCACCAATATGCCAATGCCAAAGAAGGAGGCCGGTCCGATTTGCTGATACAGAAAGTAGGCGGCAATCAGCAGCTCCAGCGGAGCCAGCCACAGGAAGTGCAGGTGAATGAGGGCGCGATCGAATCGATTCAGATCGTTAGACAGCAAATTGACCACCTGCCCGATGGTGGTATCGCCCATGGCAGTGCGGCTGAGGCGAAGAGCCTTGCGGTAGATGGCACAACTGACGGCCACTCTCATCTTCATGGCCAAGTGCTAAAAATTTTAATTAGAGATTACAAATTGCTGCATTCGGAGGCATTTAAAAGTAGCTTACCATCATTCCTAGCATATAGGGATGTGTGAGAAGCACGCTGGCCAGCACACACATGATCAGAGCCAAAGCATAGAGCTGTGCGGCTAGGCTGTCGCTGCTGTCTTCGCCATGTTGGCTAAACTCGGATATAAGCCCAGCCAGGATCAGTGGAACAGTGGCCCTACACAAACCAATCTATTTGAATCATTATTTCACATCAAATATCGATCACTCACCTGGTGCCCAGCTCTAGAGCGCCAATCATCACGGCAGAGCGCAAGAGTTCCCAGCGAAATACGCGCACGACGACCCGCAGGACACTGGGCTCGCGGTGCGAGTTCTTGCGGCGGCATGCCTCCACTTCGTCCACCCAGGCTCGATAGAAACGATCACCCAGGCTTTCAGCTTTGTGCTCCTCCAGGGCATTGTACAGATCCGTTGGCTGCAGCGTCTTGTTCCGCCCCTTGAACAATATCGGCAGGGTAAAGCTGCAATAAAGAGAATCTTATGTAAATCTATTTCGACATAATGAATAATTACAAAAATATTCTACGAACAATATCGTATTGATAAGGGTTGTCTTCTCGGGTGTCTTCAGCTTTTTTCAGCTTCTGTTGTAATGAAAACCATATTTTATCACATATTTCCCATATGTGATAACACATACATATGGCGGCGCATAGATAAACACACACACACACTAGCATGTGTTTAGTAAAATTTCATTCTTAACGGTAACTGTAAACTTGTGCGTACCAGAACATCAGCGAGGACAAAATACCTGCCGACTCGCGTGGATTTGTTGGCAATTTGTTGGCCTGCATAATTATGCTTTGTTTTAAACTATTTGAACACGAAACTATGTACGTATGCTTGGGTTTCACTTCCGGAGGATGGGGATGCTATTTCATCACCAGACAAACCGGGAGAATTTCATCACAGGCTGTACCGCTGTACCGTTAGAGTTGCAGCATCAGGACGTGGGTGTGTTGGGTGTATACGTATTTAAGCGCGACCACGTGATCAAAAATTAAGCACACTAAAACTTTCCATTCAACATTAAAATCAAAAGACTAAGCACATAAGCCAACCACGACGCCCCGCAATTCCAATCATTCTGTTCGTTCCATGTCGACGAAAGCTAGAAAAACAAAAAAATCAATCGAAGAATCAGCTGTCCGCCATTTGGACTTATGGTCGTATGACACCACCAATGGGAGAACTCTTTCTCCGTCTGTCATATAAAAAAGTTAGATAAGCGTAATGTCCTACGGCCATACATTCCTCAAATGTGTTGTGTGCGGGCATTTTTAGTGCATGGCTCTGTATGTATGTATTTTTCGGCATTTTTAGTATCTTATTTACATATTTTTGGCGGCAAATGATTATACAATTCGAAAATTATACTACAGCTAATCTATACCATCAATACACAATCAATTTAAGGTTTGAGTGGGGTTTAATTAATAAGTAAACAATTGAAATTGATTAAGCTACGGCAAGTGCGATCAAACGTATACATGCATACATTTTATTTACTTATCAAGGGGCTTGTGTACATATATTTTAGGGTGGAAATTCGACGAATGTTCGAAGTAAATAAAACAAACTTTTAGTCAATTCCCGATATACAATATATAATATTATTCTTTATTCTTTATGAAGGCACTTATTCTTTGCACTTAGAAATTTAAATAAATACAAACATTAAATATAGCAACAGATTCCAATGCATCTCGTGGATGCGATCTGTCATTTAGATCTCGATAAAGAGAGGATCTCCATATCCATACATTCATTCACACAAAACACGAAACATTCATATACACAGATTCAAAAACATTAAGAATATTTAAACTAAATATATAAGGCCGAGACGACGGACTGGGGTTACAGGCACCTCAGCTCAATTCCTGCACACATTTTGTTGGGTATTAGTAGAGTCTCAAGAGGACAGACGCCGACTCTGCTTCTGGGCGTCTTCAAAGGCCTGGAAATGTAAATGTAAATGTTGAGTTTGGGTGTAAATTCCATTATTTACCGAGTAAACTTAGACTTACCTTTTGTGCGACCTTCAGTAGAGTTTCGTAAGTGGCCTGCCCCGTTTGCTTCACCATGCCGTGGAACACCTTGGTATCTGAGAGTGTCAACAGCTCGTACGGCGTACCAAATTCCACAACTCTGCCGGCATCCATGACCAGCACCTTGTCGGAGTCCATGATGGTGTGCAGGCGATGGGCTATCGTCAGTACAGTGCAGTCTTTGAACTTATTGCGAATGGTGGTCTGGATGAGGCCATCCGTTTGGGGATCCACATTGGCCGTGGCCTCGTCCATCACCAGAATGCGATTCTCGCGCAGAATGGCACGAGCTAGACACACCAACTGACGCTGACCCACGCTAAAGTTGGTGCCACCTTCGGTGATTTTGCTCTGCAGTCCACTGGGCAGATCGGCCACAACTTCCTTTAGCTTCACCTCCTCCAAGGAGCGCCACAGCTTCTCGTCTTTGTACTCATCAAATGGATCCAAATTGTAGCGCATTGTGCCAGAGAATAGCACTGGTTCCTGGGGAATAATTGAGATCTTGCTGCGTAGATCGTGCAATCCCATCACATTCGTGTCCCGCTTATCGATCAGAATGGATCCCTCGTTGTAGGACAGTCGGAACAGCGCATTGATCAGAGAGGATTTGCCCGCACCCGTCCGTCCCACGATGCCCACCTTTTCACGCGGTTGGATGACGAAATTCAGCGACTTGAGCACATACTCTGCCTTAGGATCTGGCACATAGCGCAGGCTCAGCTCGTCAAATATAATCTTTCCTTCTGCGGGCCATGACTTTGGTGGCTTCTTCGCCGGATTTGCGGCCTCCAGTTCTCCTTCTGGCTCAATGTCCTCGTATTCAACCACTCGCTCCACGGCGGTCATTGTGTTCTCCAGCTCGGCAGACTGTCGCATGCCCCACTGGACCATGCCCGTCATGCCCATGGCCTGTCAAACGTGAAACGGGAAAGATAAGTAAGAATAGCTTTTGGGTGAAGGATAGTGTGCGGAGCATACCTGTGTTATGGCGAGACCCACGTCGCCGCCGTTAGCTGGAGGATAGACAAAGAAACTGAGTGTGATTATCGCTATGTAAATCACACAGAAACAGTCCAGCCAGTAGCCAAAGGCGCGCGAAGTGCTGATAAACATGTAGAAGGCGGAGCTGTGCATATCCTGATAGTTGTCGAACTCTGCCTCCAGCACACGCTGTGCCCCAAAGGCACGAATGGTGGACAGGCCCGTCAGCGAGGCAGCCAAATGCGAATAGACGGGCGAGCGAGCTGCAGCAAAACGAAAACAATGAAAAACACTCGCAATTGATGGATAGATAGCGCCACTTACTGATGGCCTCCATGCGCTTGACATCACGTGAGGTTTTCAGATAGAACGTCCGCAACTGGTAGAAAATTATACCCAGCACGACCGTGGGTATGAGAAAGAGCGGATTGACAATCGCTATGACAATGACGATGCCTGCCAGTGCGAGAAAGATCTGTATGACGTCCATCATCACAGCGGGCAGTATCTCATCCACTTGGCCCATATCCTTGGAGAAACGATTCAAAATGCGTCCGGACGGATTCGTGTTGAAGAAAAACATGGCCGCTCTGCTAATGCCGTGAAACATGGAATTGTGCAGACTAATGGAGGCCTTCATGGCCAGATTGAAGAACAGAAATGAACGTGCCACCGTCACCACAATGGTGAGAACCGTAATCAGCGTGAATATATATGTGTCCAGCATTTCAGCGTCCACGGGCAAGCCCTGCTCAGTCAGCCAGTGGGAGAGTCGATTCTCTAGCATAGGAGATTGTATCGTTGTATCATTCTCTGCGTTGCTGCTGGCGAGCACTGCATCGTTTCCTTTCTTGGTGACCCTACAAAAGAGTTGGATTGACATTAAACCCGACCTGCTGTACAGCCCAGCCATGAGTCTAGTCTTACCAATATGATAGGAAGTAGTCCCCCAACGATGCCAGCACCTGCGACAGCACACAAAAAGCCATCATCACGAAGAAGGCAAAGAAACCGCCGCCGGCTTTAAAGTACTTATTGTACAGGCCTAACCCGATGCGACCCTGCGTCTGTCGCTCCTGGCTGACCATTTGATCTGCGCCAGCATCTAGCACGGAATCGGTTACAGATACCAGGGATATCTCGCTGTTGCGTCGTTGATCAACTTGACTGCCCGACCGAGAGCGCGAGCGTTCCTCCGTCTGCTCTTCGCGTGCCTCCTCGTTCAGCATTGAGGCAAAGTCCACACCGGAATCGCGCAGCGACTCGTACGTGCCCACAGCACTTACCTGACCCTTGTCCATTATGACGATCTGGTCGGCCTGCTGCAGGAACTGCAGCTGATGGGTGGCCAATATGACAATACGCTCCCTCAGATAGCCGCGCATGCACTGCTCGAAGAGATGGCGGGCCACATGCGTGTCGACCGCGCTGAGGGGATCATCGAGCAAGTAGATGGATGTCTCTCGGTAAACGGCTCGGGCCAGACTGATTCTCGCCTTTTGGCCGCCGGACAGCGAGGCACCGCGTTCGCCCACAATTGTCTTGTCTTTGTACGGCAGCAGGTCAAAGTCACGCTCGAGGGCGCACTTCTTTACCACCTTGGTGTAACGCCGTCTGTCCATGGGCTGGCCAAAGAGAATATTCTGTCGCACGGTGCCGGAGAAGAGCCACGGCTCCTGGGAGGCATACGAAATCGTGCCATTCACCTTGATCTCCCCCGACTCGGAGCGCAGTTCCCCGAGTATCGCTTGCATGAGACTGGATTTGCCAGAGCCCGTGCGTCCCACAATGCCCAACATGGTGCCTGGCTGCACGCGCAGATTCACGCAATTGAGTGTGTAGTCGGGTGAGTTGACATCCCACTTGGCCTTCAGCCCGTTGATGGCAATGCCCGCTTCGGATAGCACTGCATTCTCGTTGATCTTTCCCAGTGGCATGGGTACAGGCATCGGCAGTGGTGAGGGCAACAGCTTATCCTCGACTTCGTCGAGATCCTCCTCTGTCTCGCCGTAAACCGTCGCCTGATTGCTGCCCGGCGTTTCCAGCGGCCAATCCACACTCTTGTCCGAAACATCCGTTTCGTCTGATTGCATGTACTTCTCCACGCGTTTGATGGACACCAGTGTCTCGGCCATCTGGGAGATGCCTTGGGGAAAGAACACGGTCATTGTGGTGCGCAGGATATTGTAGTAGGCGGTGATCAGGAATGCCACCTCGGGCGTAAGGAAAGTGCCCAGCAGCACGTATCCCACCAGACTGAGGAATATGGAGACGCGCGTGAGGAAGATTATGAAGGAGAGCAGGATGCCGCGTATGTAGGACACGTGTCGTATGGCATTGATTTCCTTTTTGCGCGCATACGCAACCATCGTCTCGAAGGGCAGCTCCCAGGCATACATCTTGATCACTTGGATGCCTGATATGATCTCATTCATCATTCGCACCCGCTCGTCCGTTCGCAGGGCCGTTCGCAGGCGCAGCACAGAAGTCTTCTTGCCCAGATACGCCTGCAGGGGTATAAACAGCAGCATAAAGGCCACACCGAACACGGCAGCAATACCAATCTGTAAAAAATAAAAAGCAAGTCAGAGTGCAGCTTAAAAGATTATCTCTCTCGCTCGGTGTTTACCTCCTGGTACATGAGAAATGTAATGAAAACAGTTTCCAGTGGACCCACCCACAGATAGTGCACAAATATGGTGGCCAAATCCAGGCGTCCCACATCGTTGGACATCAGATTAACCACATGGCCAGCTGTGGTGTCTCCCAGGGCGGTTTTACTCAGCCGCAAAGCCTTGCGGTAGATCATGCTACACATTCCCACACGCATTTTCAAGCCTAAAAGGGAAACATCAAAGAATTAGTTGCACTTTCGAGGCAGTTAAACCGTGGAACACTGACCTACGTGCATGGTGCCGAGCATGTAGGGATGCATGATGATTACATTGAGCGCACTACACAGGATCACACCGCCCGCATAGTAGTACGCAGCTTCTATCGACTCCGAACCATGGGAATAGTAGGATATCAGCTTAAGCAGGAAAAGCGGTTGCAGGGTGCGCAGTCCCAGTTCCAGCAGGAACAGCACCAGGCCGAGCAGCCCAAAGTACCAGCCAAAGACGCGTATCAGCGCACGCAGCAGGCTGGGTCGCCTCTTGGCGCCCTGCTGCTGCTCTCGCTCCCAGGCGGCGCACAATTTGTTGCCCAGCGTCTCTGCAAAAAAGTAATTCAAATTAATCAAAGATACAGAATTGACTGGGGCCACGGATCGGCTCTATTTATTCGGATTACAAAAACAATAAATGCTCAGCAACAGACCAGACCAGACAGTTATCAATTCGAGAAGAAGAAAAAAAGCCACAGCTCGCGCAACAATTAAAAACCAACAAAATACAATAAAGAAGAAACACATCAATTTACGCGGTCAACGAACATACTATGTGCATCGATCAGTCAAATTAATGGTACTCTTGATTACCTACAGTGCGAGGCGCAACTATAAGGCAGCTACCATGAGTGGGCAAGATTGAATAATCTAGGAAATGACAAAGCAGTGAACGTCCAGTCGAAATATCTAATTTCGCCATTTCCTATCTTGTGTGACGACAACCAAAACTCGACGTTTAAGCCACACAAATGATATGTTCTAGAATCGATGTGGATCGTTCGCTGATAATGGAATTTAAACTCTTTAAACATCATTCCATCATGTGGTGTGTCGTGTCTGTGGAATTTCATCACAATTTTAACATACCAGACTTGTGTTCCTTAAGGGCTCTGTACAGATCCGTTGTATCCAAGGTGTTCTTGCGTCCCTTGATAAATACGGGCATGGTATACCTACCAACATTAAAATATTTAATGGCTTAATTTTACCCAAATTAGTTATACTTACCAAAAGCATGCTGCTGATATAAAACTGCAAGTCTCTCGCGGATTCTCCGGCAAATCTGCCGTCTTAATTGACTGCATTTTGTGATCTAGCTAAAGGAATTCTAAAATAAATAAAAATACTTGTAAATGGTGGAAATTGTATTTCAGCCTGTGGTCAGGGTCTCAAGATGATAATGTAATGTGTGAGCAGAAGCCAGATATCTTGCTGTCTTAAGGTGTGCGCATTGTTTTGATAGCCCGATTTCTCAGGGCCAAAAGAGGACTGTAAGCCACTTTTTCACTTTCCTCTGGAAACAAAACACGCAACCATTGTAAATTTAGATATAAAACCAATTCTGCTGAGTGGTATGTAGATGGATGCGAAATCGACATCGCCCCTTTTCCTTGAAAACAAACGCGAATTGTCTTATCCAAACAAACCTTTTGTTGTTTATACTTATGTAGTTATCAGCAAAGCGATTCGAATTCTGGTTGGCTTAGCGACAGCGTAAATCTACGCTTTTGTTTATAATGTATCTGCTTATTTATGTATGTGGGGGTCATCGCCGTCATAGGGCCGGCCACATTGGCGATGCGTCATTAGGATGATATTTAAATTTTTTCTCTCCTTCCTCCGGCACGCACAACTTTCTGGAAGACAACAGTTATTGAAATGCCCACGGTCGCCATTCCGCCTTGTGGCTTCTCTCTCACTCTCTCTTCTTTCCTTTCCTTTCCTTTCCTTCTTTCCCTTTCGCTTGTTTCATTCATTCGCACCGAAAATAGGCATGTGTTTACCGTTGCTTCAGTACAACTGTGCGGGTGCCGTACCACGTTGTAACTGAACGAAAAAATTGGCATATGTATGTACTAATGTATATACAAAGCATCAACACCGAATATCACTAAATCGCCGAATAAACTAAAATTCATTTCAGATAAAGGCCAATTCGACAATGTTTGCGCGTTGTCTACTTGCCTGTAAATTATCTAATCACATGGATTTTTTCACATACACAAATTACAAAATCATCTTTAAACACATAATTATTATAATTGCCATGAATTGGCACCAGGCTATAAAGTGTACGTACATTTTTGTAAAATATTGTTTACATTTAACAATAACAAAAACTAGCCAATTACCCCCCGTATAACGTGAGAATCGAGTGTTTTGTAGAGCCGGGGGCGACACGGCCGTGTCCACTGCTTTTGCCTTCTGTTTGTGCGGTGTGGCGTTGGCAACGCAAAAAAATATAAAAACCGAATAAACAGAAGAACAGACCCGTCCGTGCGCGCGGAAAAAAGGGCAATGACGAGCAGCTGGCGACTATCAGAGGTTTTAACGAATGCCCGCTGCCATGTATATACGCTTTTTGCGGGTGTGTTTGTGTATGTGGGAATGTACAATTCCGATTCGAAACATGCCGATTGCACACGAGAGGAATCAACAAGTGTAATCACTGTACATACATATATTAAATGCATACATACATTAACATACATAAGTATGTACAATCGATTATCGCATGTGCAATCTCCAAAAAATATATGTATATTCTACCACCTCTTGCATGGCAAACTTTCAAAAAGCTTTCACTCCCCCGCCTTTGGGTAGTACCTTCACCAAAAAATCCTCTGCATTCTCTAGTATTCTATAAAATAGTTATGATTTCCAGTTTAATTCAGTTGGGTTTATTGGATGTACATTGGTAAAATGTATGCTCCCACAAAATGTAAAAAGAAAATTACCAACTAACGCGCGAATCAGGGACACTTAGGCAACCAGGGCAGAGGCGGTGCTCGACTCGTATTTCCAGTTGGGTGGCAGAACGCTCTTTGTCTTGTAGTAGCGGGCCAGACGATGGATTCTGGACTCGACCAGAATAAGACGGAACTTGCCATCCTTGTCCTTGCGGTTGCGTTCCAAATGCTTGCGGATGGCAACGGCCTTCTTGATCATGTGGTAAAGATCCTCGGGAATGTCGGGCTTCAGACCCACTGACTTCATGATACGCAGGATCTTGTTTCCATTGACGAATCGGACCTGGGCGACGCCATGGGAGTCACGCAAGATGATACCTGAAAGCAATACAACACTGGCATTAACATAACCTCAAACAACAAACACACACACACACACAAACGCATTACCGATTTTCGATGGGGTCAAACCCTTCTTGCCAAGCTTCTTGATTTGATCCTTAACATCCTCAGCGTTCAGCTTAAGCCAGGATGGCACTGTACGTCTGTAGGGCAGAGCTGATTGGGAAATACCCTTGCTGCGAATAAAATAATTGTGTTAGTCCATGTCTTCAGTCCGCAGCTCTGTCAATGTGTGTGTGTGAATACGTCTGCACCATGTGCTTGGCTTTGTGAACCATTTTAAGCAAAAGGCATGGCCAACGCACTAAATTTAACATAATAATGGGGTTGTCCCAGTGGGCAGGCACATTTTGCAAATGTATTTGTTCACGGAACTGCATTTGAAACTATAAAAAATTGCATTTTTACCCAGGAGCGTGCATACGACCCATCTTGATAGTCTAGTTTTTTTACCGAAAAGAAGGTGGGAGTGTGACCGCAGGCTTATCGACAAATATACCACCCGATCCTCGGAAATATACCGAGATATACTGAAAATATACTGTACATATACCGAAAATAAAGTGGAGACCTTCGAGACGTTGATAGCTCTCCAATTTTTGAGCTGCTAAAAAGGATGTATCGATAGTATCGTTTTACAAATATAATCACTTCAATGCCATTTAAATCAATTTAGCCACCAGGCAAATAAAGCTGGTAGTCTGGATTAAAAAAACACCCTAATTTGGAAAATACATAATCGTACACACAACTATCGTTTTAGAACCATTCTGACAGCCAATCTCTACAAAGTATCAGAGTTGCATTGGTTGGTATTTTCCGATAAGTTCATAAATTAATAAAAATGCAATCAAATAAATACAACGATTTGCTGGACCGGCTAGAAAATGAGGAATTGGAGGTGCGTAGCAAAGAGTAAATGACTAAACAGTAACAGTTTATCTGTATTTTCGAATCCACAGCAGGTCGAACTGGGAGCAGAAGTCTATCAGCAACTGCTGGCGATTTATCTCTACCAAAACAAACTGTTAGGACAATGAATGCTTTGTGCGCAACGCCAGATATTCCCAACACTCAATCTCATCTCTCGTTTTAGAGCCAATGCCAAATTGTTGTGGATGCGTATACCAGACAAGTTGAAAGAGGACAAAGAGTTGCTGCATTTAAATCAGCTAAACGTTGCCCTTCAGAACAACAACTTTGCGGAGTTCTTTCAAAAGATCAGATACGATTGGTCCGAGTGCGTCAAGCCAGCAATGGAAGATCTCTTGGGTAAGCAGTGCCTCTGCAAAGAGTGTGAACCTAGCTAACAGTTTATTGGCATAGTGAAACAGCGGGAGGATCTCTTGACCCTGGCTGGGAACGCCTATGTTTCCATCTACCAGAACAATCTGCTAAAAATGGCCCAAATGACTGAGGATGAGTTGAAAAATGCCGCATCGGCCTTGGATTGGACTCGGGAACTGAATGGCGATGATGTTATCTGGCTGCCCAAGGCCAAGGAAACACCGCCCACAGGCGGTAACGATGATCAGTTGCTCAAACTAACCGAATTTGTAACATTCTTAGAGAATTAAATTAATAAAATTCACTCCCACATTAAGCCAATACATTTTTGGTATTTGCAAATGACATATGTATTTTTTGTGGTATTTCGCCTGTGCGAACTATCATCGAGCTGTTATCGTTTCTGACTATCGGTCTCGTTGTGTCATTTAGAAGTGAAAAAATTGTAATTTGCAGTAAACTTCAAAGAATTAAAGTAATTTATGTGGGACTTGTGAATAGAAACTCAACAAGCTAGCGAAAATAATTTATTACCCTGTACAGGCCACATTGTAAGCGGCAAGGCAGCTAAATCAAGTTGGTTACTTGCGGAATAGAAAAACCGATTTTCAGTGCGTGTGTGTGAGAAGAAAAAATGGCAGCGAGCGACAAATCAGTCGATGATTCTCTTTATCCCATTGCGGTATTAATTGACGAGTTAAAAAACGAGGATGTGCAGGTTAGTAACAGAGTGCAAAACCTATTACGTCTCACCAAAATCCACAAACATAAGTTGGCGTTGCAATTCAAGGCAGTGGCAGTGGCAGAGGCATGGCCGTGTCCTGCACCGTCTGTCTGTATTGTGCAAAAAAATGCGTCATTTGTATGCATAGCTATGCATGTGTGTGGTGTTAGCGCTGCCTTTGCGTGTTCATGTGTGCGTGTGCGTGTCGCTCGAATTTTCATCGCTGACTTTTGTGTACTTTTGTAATGAGCAACTAAATGAAATTCCTCCCCCCTTCCACCACACTTGTGATATACGCAGCTGCGCCTCAACTCCATAAAGAAGCTGTCGACCATTGCTTTGGCCTTGGGCGAAGAGCGCACACGTTCCGAGTTGATTCCGTTCCTAACCGAGACCATATACGACGAGGATGAGGTTCTTTTGGCACTGGCCGACCAACTCGGAAACTTTACAAGTAAGCAAAACCACAAATCCACCCCACAATGCGGATTCTATTAATAACTGTGCTTGTAATAGGCCTGGTTGGCGGGCCCGAATATGCCATGTATTTAATACCGCCCCTCGAGAGTTTGGCCACTGTCGAGGAGACTGTGGTGCGGGACAAGGCCGTAGAATCTCTACGCACGGTAGCGGCCGAGCACAGTGCCCAGGATCTGGAGATTCATGTGGTGCCAACGTTGCAGCGTCTCGTCTCTGGTGACTGGTTCACCTCCCGCACCTCCGCCTGCGGCCTCTTCTCGGTCTGCTATCCTCGCGTCACGCAGCCCGTCAAGTCGGAGCTGCGTGCTAATTTCCGCAAGCTCTGCCAGGATGAGACCCCAATGGTGCGGCGTGCGGCTGCTAACAAGCTGGGCGAATTTGCCAAAGTCGTAGAGACGGAATATCTAAAGTCTGACTTGATACCAAACTTTGTCCAGTTGGCCCAGGACGATCAGGTACGTTAACCTTAAAATTATGAGAAGAAATTGATTAAATCAACCCAATTCTTCCACTTCTCAAACTTTAGGACTCTGTTCGTCTGCTGGCTGTGGAGGCTTGCGTTAGCATTGCCCAGCTGCTGCCCCAGGATGATGTCGAGCACGTAAGTCCATTTGGTTGGCCACAATGGTTTCATATTTCTAACTCTGTTGTCTCCCGCTTAGCTGGTTCTGCCAACGCTGCGTCAGTGTGCCAGTGATTCGTCGTGGCGCGTGCGCTACATGGTGGCCGAGAAGTTTGTGGATCTGCAAAAGGCTGTGGGACCGGAGATCACACGCGTGGATTTGGTGCCGGCATTCCAGTACTTGCTGAAGGATGCCGAGGCTGAGGTGCGCGCTGCCGTGGCCACCAAAGTCAAGGACTTTTGCGCCAATCTGGACAAGGCCAATCAAGTGCAAATCATCTTGAGCTCCATCTTGCCATATGTCCGCGATTTGGTCTCCGATCCGAATCCACATGTCAAGTCGGCTCTGGCCTCGGTCATCATGGGCTTGAGTCCAATGCTGGGCGCCTACCAAACAGTCGAGCAGCTGCTGCCCCTTTTCCTCATTCAGCTGAAGGACGAGTGCCCCGAAGTGCGTCTCAACATCATCTCGAACCTGGACTGTGTAAACGACGTCATCGGCATTCAGCAGCTATCGCAGTCCCTTCTGCCCGCCATTGTCGAACTGGCCGAGGACTCCAAGTGGCGCGTGCGCCTGGCCATCATTGAGTATATGCCCGCCCTGGCCGGGCAATTGGGGCAGGAGTTCTTCGATCAGAAGCTGCGCGGTCTCTGCATGGGCTGGCTGAACGATCATGTGTACGCCATTCGCGAGGCTGCCACTCTCAACATGAAGAAGCTGGTGGAGCAGTTCGGTGCCCCCTGGGCCGAGCAGGCCATCATCCCAATGATATTGGTCATGTCACGCAACAAGAACTATTTGCACAGTGAGTCAGAGGGCAGGTCCGGGGACTCTACACATTCTACAGTTTAATTCTGTTTTTTCTGCTTTAGGAATGACCTGCTTGTTCTGCCTGAATGTTTTGGCTGAGGTTTGCGGCACGGATATCACCACTAAGCTGTTGCTGCCCACAGTCCTGTTGCTCGCCGCCGATCCCGTGGCCAATGTACGCTTTAACGTGGCCAAAACATTGCAGAAGATTTCCCCGTTCCTGGAGGCCACCGTCATCGATGCCCAAGTCAAGCCCACACTCGACAAGCTAAATGTGGATTCGGATGTCGATGTGAAGCATTTTGCTGCGCAGGCTATAGCCGGCATAGCAGCAGGTAAGCGAGCCCCCCTCCAGCCCATCCTGAGAGTACTAAAATAAGAACAAAGATGCACAGAATTGGGTATTGAAGAGAGGCTTATTTTACGTTAAAAAAGCCATTTCCACAGAATACCCAAAACTCGTACATCTGGCAAGAGATCGTACTTCTGCCTGCCGTCTGTCTGCCGTATAAATAAAAATTTGATATTTGATATCCATTGCCATTAGAAATGGAATTGAATGTGTTTAGAACGGCGGTGCCGCCGTGCATGGGTGCTAAAATTGAAGCGGCCATGGACTCGAAGCTGATAGTGGAAGCGCCGTCCACGATGGCGGGTCCTACCGATGGTGGCATTTTAGGAGGAGGAGCAGACGATGAGGCCTCGCTCAACCAGGATCGAGAGTCGAGAATTGAATTGGAATGTTAGAGGATGAGTAGCCAAAAAATCAAGAAATGTGACGTGCCGCCTGTTTTGTGCCACCCAATACCAATGCCAATGCCAATGATGATGTTTTTAACACCCTCTCCCCAACACAACACTATCAGAAATGTTGTTCAATTGTTTTTCTGTTAAATTAAAATTGTATCCCAAAAGTAATTGTACGAAACTAATGTCAAACATATATACATTTTCTTGTCTCTTTCCCGGTATTTCATCCACGTGGCTGTCGTGTTATGTTGTGTACTTTCTGTTTTTGTTTACAGCGTAATCAATCTACTTGCATCTTTTTTATTCTATTTTTAAACTGTATGTATTTAACGCCGGCAACAAAACACACACATATTATATGTAGCAACCACACTTAAAAATGGAAACTTGTAGTGGAGACCCATGCCCCCCACGCGCGAGGAGGTGTTTAACGCCTGCACTGCAGCAGATGCTGGCTGGCCATGGCGGAGGAGGAGTTTGCAGTTCATGGAGCAGGGAAAGAAGAATCATCTTTGGAGCCATCGATGCCAGCAAGGGAGGAGGAAGAGACACACAAATCGCAACACAGAAAACAAAATTAATTACATACCTATAATATATGATAAACGACCTTACCACATAAGCAAAAATTCATTATTAAAAAGCATTGTAGAGTTGAAACATTTGAACGCATCTAAATGCAAAAAATAAAAACTAAAATAAATGCAAAATTATAGTAAAAAATTACGAAAATGCAAGCAATATAATTTCATAAAAGATGAACCTTTTATGAGTGCATATTGATGGAACATAACTTTAATATCTCTTGAAAAGCATATTTCATACATCCAAAGACATTTTAAAAAGCTATGTGTTTCCAGATAAATAATTTCATATCTTATCTTCTGCTATTTTTGTATCTGCCTTGAAAGCTTTCAACTAAAACCTACCACACAGCATTTAAAATCAATTAGCCCGCCCGATATCGATAGTTTCTAAGGTTTCGCACCTGTGCGATAGTTTTTGTCTGTTTTCAGGTTTTGTTTTGGCGACCGCGCGCGAGTTGCTTCAGCGAGAGATCAGTCCAACGACGCTTTTTCTGTTGTCTATTTCGGTGGTTCGTTGTTCGGTCTGGTCTGGTCTGCGCTGCGCCTCTCCATCTGCTCTCGCAATCGTCGCGGTCCAAAAGTCATTCATTCGAAAAAGCGTCTGTAAATATTTACTGGGCAATACCACGCAGAGTGCCCTCGTAAGTGTCACTTGAATCGATAATCTAATCGTTTATACTTGGAATATTGCCCATCAAAGGGCAAATGGGGGGAAAACATATGCAAATTGGTTTTGCTAAACGCCTGGAACCAATCAATCCATTGCCTGCAACATGTGCACATGTAGTAACACATAGGCATGGACACATCACAGCTGGTCATTATAATCAATTTCCCACTGCTTCCGCAGTCTCCGTGTCCGCCTTTCGTGCACTGACTCGACCCCACTCCCCCCACAGCGTCGCGACGGCGCAACAAGTGTCTACCGTAGCAGTCGGCTCATTAATTACGCGAATATGTCAAAAATCGGCTATATGGACTGATTCTGATTTTACTGTTGTTTTATCTGTGCTTAAAGTGGCGCGTTTTATGTCCCCGTTCCCCACCATTTGTAGCCCTATCAATGGGCTAATTTCCCCACGATACGCGTGAGTCTAAATTGAAGTGTCTCTTTATTGATGTAGTAAAGCTGAATTTACAAAAAACGAAAATAAAAGGCCGGTACTCAAATTACAACGGGAGGCTCAAGCGGCTGGCTCGGGGGCCTTGCCTTGCCTTGCCGTGCTTTGATTTCATCACACAACTACAAACACACAAAATGTCGAAAATGTATGTGTGTCTGACTGGAATTGCTGTAGCTGTAATTTCCAAGTGTGTATTTAAGCATTATTGTTGGTTTGTTTATACACAGTGCCCCGTCTGCCGGGGTTAAGGTAATCCATGCCTAATGGCCAACAGTGAACTCAACATTATGTGGAAATTAATGGGCTAGTAAACCCTGAACTATGATGGCTCGTGCGACATGTCTTTTGCCATCTTGTCAGCTTGATCGATTTCAAGCGGTGCAATGTCTAAAGTTGCACTTCGATCTCTTGCATTCTGTGTAATCGATTCAAATTTCACAGCGCAGCGCTTCTAAAAAGCTGCAATTGCATGCACGTTAGAAAGAGACAGATGGATCGAAAAGGAAAGGCATGAATTCAAAACGGATTTCGAGAATTGCTGCATTGCTTCAGATAATTCTTTTGCAATAATTATGGCTGATTGAATCCAATTGAGACGTGTTCTTGTGTCATTCGAAAGGCATTTGCAAGCCAGTCTTTAATTTAGATCAAACTGGAGTTAGAAATGTAATACAAAATAATTCTGGTAGCTTTTCTGTCATTATTTTTTAAATTTGTTGTGTTGCAGGTCAGTAAAAATTGTTTAATTCGTGTAATTGGAGCTGAGGTCTAAGATACCTTTGAATGTTTTGTATTGCAAAGAAATGATGATACTTAAAGATGATTTCCCAATTATTAGATTCCACATAGTTAATGGCCTCTGCGGGGCCATATAAATAGCACATGTCCACATGAATGATGCATGGACGGGCAGGGCACAATTTTGGGACAGGACTTTGGCCACCAGTGGTGTGGGTCTTCGTATTTGTGTATGAATCACGATGCTAGGCTGTCGTAGAAGTGTATTAGCCGCCGTTTTATCTTATCCGAACGATTCAAATTTAATTAGAGTTATCAATTCAAATGCGGTTTTAGGCCCGGCCCGGCCACGCCGCGCCGCTCTACGCCAGCACGCTTTTGGCAGCACTTCGAGTGGTCGCCACTTCAGTCTTGGTTAATCACTGCCTGGAAGCGGAGGATATCCGGATAACCCACTTGGACACGTACTCGCGTAATCAATCATTTTATGGACACACCAAACCACAATGCACAAGGCCATTAAAAATAAATCCAGTAAGTCTTTTGGACTGAGATTTTTGTGGACAATTCCTTTACACACTTACAACTTTCGTTGAATGCTTTTTCAGGGCTGCTCTGTGGCCTGAAGAACGCAAAGGCAGATCTGACAACGGCCAAGTTTATACTATATTACGGGTACGTAACGTGCACCGACAAATGTGTCACCACTCAAGCGTTTATCTCTCTTTGGAACCAACCCACAGGCCCACGGTGGCTGATAGCGATATCTATGATCTGAAAGACCACAAGAGTCTGTTGGAGGACGAGAATTTGGATTTGGGCAAGAACACGGTGCTCTATTTGCACGGCTATGTGGAGGATCCGGATGTGGAGAGTGTAAATGTCATTGCGGAGGCCTATCTGGAGCGCAAGGACACAAATCTGATCGTCCTCGACTGGGGAGAGCTGGCGGATGGCAACTATATATTCGATGCCATGGTGAATGCCAAACAACTGGCACCGGAGCTGGCCAAGGTGCTGCTGGAAATGTTTGACCACGGCTTGGATATAGAGAAGTTCCACATAGTCGGCCACTCGATGGGCGGACAGCTGGCCGGGAACATTGGTCGGGAGATATTTAAGCGCACCAAAGGTGTTCGAAAGATCAAAAGGTACATACAGCATGTTACATAACTATGGCTAACTATGGTCTTGTGGAATTTTAAACCTTTTTTTTTTAGAATTTCGGCTCTAGATCCCGCCTTTCCGCTGTACTATCCGCTGGGGGCACATCTGACTGCCAATGATGCGGAGTTCGTGGATGTCATACACACAGACGCTTGGCTGTACGGCGCACCGACGAGCACGGGAACGGCGGATTTTTGGCCCAATGGCGGGAAAAGCCTACAGCCCGGCTGCCCCAAGCGGAACTACAAAATGCTCAGCGATAATGATCTGTCTAGTCATCGGCGAAGCTGGTGGTTCTGGGCCGAAAGCGTCTCGGATCGTTTTCCGATAAGGTTCGATGCCGTTGCGTGTCGGAGCTGGTCGGACTTCAAGCAAAACAAAACCACTGAAACATGTCCGCCCGTGGTGATGGGTCATCACTGTCCCACAACGTAAGAATTTCCGTAGATAACGAAGTTGCTGGAGAAATGCATCTTTTGCTTCTTTGCTTTGCAGGATTCAAGGCAACTTTTACTTACAAACCAATGGACAAACACCTTTTGCCAGGGGCAAGGAGGGTACAATATATGTCGATCCCAAGGAGCTGCTGGAAAATACCCATGGCTACTCCTGCGAGCCGCGCCACTCAATCAAACCGGTGTGATTTTCTTTTTAGTTTCGCCGATTTGTTTTACATTTATAAAATGTATCGGAATCTATGCGTTCTTCTATGAAAACTTCTTCACATCACCAGAAATATATACTTAAATTTTGTTGTTGACCATAGAGCCGAATTTTATTCAATTTGAATTTTTGAATCTGCGAAGTAGTTTAATATTTATTGCAGCCCTGCAATTCTAACTCTGATAAATGGTTCAGTATATCGAGTGCCACCCATCAATAGTGAAGAAGAAGAGTGACCATGTCCATATATATTTTATACTTTTTGGTTTATTTGTAGGAATTTTTTGGTATTTTTTCGAGGATCACGCGGTATATTTTTTTCTAGTGTTCGTTTGGCAAACAACTCTTTATTAAGTTCAACATTTTTTTTTATACATTACATATATTTTTTTTTATTTAGATCAGTGTTTCAACTTTATTTAAGATCTGTCTTTCGCAGACAATTATTAAATTTCCTCTTTGGGTGGTTACATTACATAACAACCAATTTCGCTGTAGCGATTAAATAACAAAAAAAAAAAACATATGTACGCTATATAATGGTATCTTTAATGAATTTCATAGGCCTATTAAATTCAATTTTTAAAGTATTCAATTCTCTCTTCTCCTTATGAAATTTTCTTTTTTCTTTTTAAGACATATTTCTCTATCGCAACATGGGAATGTTCATCGCAACAATGAGTCTTTATTCCACCCCTCTTACGTTGAATTCCATCGACAATTACGTATTTTACCGTTGGCAACATAATTTGTATGGACCAGCAACATGCTGCGAAAAGTTAGCAGCATGCTGCGAATACCTGCTTGGCATTGTTCCCCAACATTTTTCCTGGAATAAGCAACACTTAGTACCCTTGGAGGGAGGGATGTCCTCGAATTAGAAAAAAATTAAGGAAATCCTTGGCTCTAATCAATGAAAAAACAGGTATATCTGCGTTGGAGAGATATCTTTATAAGCCATTATTATGTTTAAGAACAGCTTTGAAAACGAAATGTTTATCTTAAATAATGGAAACAGGGTACACAGGGGAACATACTACAGGGTGGGCACCAACAAATTGTGAAATAACGGAACAAAACATTTAAAAACGTAGCGTTTATTTTGTTCATTTTTTTTTCTGACCCTTTCAGCTAAATCGTTATTTTTGTAAACAATCCAATAAAATAAGTAATGAAGTGTAAGCCAAGCTTAGAGTCCACGTCCTCTTTATTAATGGTGGCTACCACCGTTGGGTGCGACATGGGGTATGGGGGGGCCTTGACCAGGACTGAAGCTACGCTAGTAAACAGTGTACGCATTTTACGTTGCGCCACCACCCACCACGGCTTGTGGTTGAGCCGAGTACCGGCAGCGCCTCCTCGCCGCTGGTGCGATGTAAATCCAACCACTCATCGGAGCTCAGAGGCAGCACCTCAGAGCCATTGAGACCGGCAGAGGAACTGCAAAAGGCACTTAAAGGGTAAGAGTTTTAAAAGTGACAGATTCAATGTGTAAGTGACCTGCCATCCAACCTATTGTCTCCGATCGTTTCCCTCTTTGGCATTCATCTGAATAGCTCTAGCAGAATAGGCACCTCGATAAACAGTTGACCCCCGGTCGAGGCTTGGGCAGGCCTCTGGAAGCCTCCTACGGGCAAATTGACGCTCAAGACATGGAGTACATACATATAAAAAGCTTATACTAAAATAGATATACTTTCCTCCTTCTTTCTTCGCGATTTTTGGATCCTCTTTCCTTTCATTCGTGTAAAGTTTTGCCGCTCCAAAAAATATATCATCTGACCATTTCTAAGCCCTTTCAGAATAAGTTGGCTTGTTTCCTTAAGGGAAAATCGTGACGGGTAGTGTAGATTAGGGTATTTGACCCTAAAATATTCTTCAAATTTAATTTACTAATTGTATTTTCCTTTTCATTTTTTAAATATACATATGTATGTAGGTCATAGGCCTTAGCAAATGGTAACAAAACTCTGTAGCAGTTCCCAAGCAGTTGATCCAATTTAAAATATTGGATATATTGCGATGGGACCCATTGATATTGGAGAATTTCCAATAGTTGATCAACATTCCACAGCTGTTCTAATTTTTGTAAACCCATTTTAATATTGAAACAGATTCATTGCAAAATATGAATTGAGATTTTGAAAATAAATCTCAGAATATTGATTGCAATTTATGTTCTTCTCATCAAAAATTTGCTAGAAAAAGTGCAATTGCTTACGATCCGAGATCAAGAGCGTTGCAAACAAATAATTGTTTTAGAGACAGAAATTCGGTCGGAAAGCAAAGATCGCTGATGTTGGAGGAGTGGTATTCTTCGAAACAGTCACAATCTTAATGAATTACTTTAAAAATTTGCAGATTATAGAGACTGAGAATGTATACAGATCGGTATATAATACATACAAAACATACGAAAAGTTTTAAAGCATGTCAGTCTAAGACAAAGTCATTAATAATTATTAAAGGCAGTTGATTAAAAAAATAAAAAATATGAAGAATCAAAAAGCACCTTCAAAAGCACGTGGGGAACATAACCTCTACGCCAGGTAAGTATTGGAGCAAAACTGTAACACCTTACATATTTCGACGTTGCGATTTCCACCTTGTAAAGGCGGGCGGCCAAATAATTCCCCTCTACCCAAGTGTAGAGCGGTAACATAAACCCTCAAAAAAAAAAAAGGCAGTTGATTCAATGGATTTACATACATATATTATCAAGTATAGCAAATATATTTTTTTGGTTGACCCTTTTAGTTTTAACCTTATTATGCAATCAATTGAGGAAATATGTATCATAAGATCAGCAAATCCTACGGAGAATTGATTGATGATTTGAGTAAAATTACATTTTTATCAAAATCGAGGAAAATGATTTTAGATTGACGGTATATTTTGAAAATGAAAAAATATATTTCGGTATATTTTCGAGGGCATCACGGTATATTTGATCGATAATTCCGCGGTCACACTGACTGTAGAGCCTCGCGTTTATAAATTAAAATAAAACAAAATAAAATTGTTTTCGGGCCATTATGAAGATAAAACTCATTGATTCCGTTGTGCGGAGTTTCAAGGTGGCGAAAATATTTCGTGAGAACACCGACAAAATCAACGCAATAGATTTTGCTCCAAACGGCGAGCATTTGATTTCCTGCAGCGAGGACGACCAAATTGTTATCTACGACTGCGAGAAGGGAACACAGTCGAGGACGGTGAACTCAAAGAAGTACGGCGTGGATTTGATACACTTTACGCATGCCAACAACACGGCCATACACAGCTCCACCAAAGTGGACGACACCATCAGATATCTGAGTCTGCACGACAACAAGTATCTGCGCTACTTTCCAGGCCACACCAAGAAGGTCATCTCGCTGTGCATTTCGCCGGTGGAAGACACCTTCCTCTCCGGTTCACTTGACAAGACACTGCGGCTGTGGGATCTACGCTCGCCAAATTGCCAGGGTCTGATGCACCTTTCGGGACGCCCCATTGCCGCCTACGATCCAGAGGGTCTGATCTTTGCAGCCGGTGTCAATTCGGAGAGCATAAAACTGTACGACCTGCGATCTTTCGACAAGGGTCCCTTTGTCACCTTCAAACTCAACCAGGAGAAGGAATGCGACTGGACCGGCCTGAAGTTCTCGCGTGATGGCAAAACCATTTTGATCAGCACAAATGGTTCGGTTATACGTCTGGTGGACGCTTTCCATGGTACACCACTGCAAACATTCACCGGCTATCCGAACAACAAGGGACTGGCCATCGAGGCCAGCTTCAGTCCGGACTCGCAGTTCATATTCTCGGGCAGCACCGACGGCCGTGTGCATATCTGGAATGCCGACACTGGCAACAAAATATCTGTGCTAAACGGCGACCATCCCGGCCCCGTGCAGTGCGTCCAGTTCAACCCCAAATACATGATGTTGGCCTCTGCGTGCACAAACATGGCCTTTTGGCTGCCCACATCGGAGGAGGGCCCGTAAATAAAGGCAGCCCCTCATTTGTCGTACATTATAGTATAAAAATACAATTTACTTTAGCAATACAAATAAAATCTGTAATCTTACAACAAATCATCCTCTCTAGCTAGTGTCGATTTCCTGCGTATTGTGGCGGTCAAAGCCCGAGCGAATGCTGCTTAGCAGTTGGCCGAGATTTTGTCCCATTTTTGCACTTATGCCGAGCACTGGATTCTGTAGCCTACGCTGCAGTTCCTTAAAGTTGTCCGCACTGTCATCCGCGTCCATTTTATTGGCCACCACCAGCTGCGGCCGACTGGCCAGGCTGCCGCCAAACTGCCGCAGCTCATGCATAAGCTGTTCATAGTGGGTCCACGGCTCAGGCGCACTGGCGTCCAGCACAAAGAGCAGCAGCGTGCAACGCTCGGCGTGCTTAAGGAACTGTATGCCCAGGCCCTTGTTGAGATGTGCATCGGGCACGAGTCCAGGCAGATCGGCAATGGTGAGCTGCACCAGATCGTCATACTGAACGGTTCCCAGATGCGGCCTTAGCGTGGTAAAGGCATACGGAGCAATCTTGGGCTTGGCACGGGTTAGGGCATTCAGCAAGGTGCTCTTACCGGCATTTGGATAGCCAATCAAGCCGACGTCGGCCATGCTGCGCAGCTCTATAGTGTAGGAGAGATCCTCGCCGGTTGGTCCATATTCGCAGACCTTGGGACTGGTCTCCTTGTCTGTGGTAAAGAATCGGTTTCCTTTGCCGCCGGCCCCACCGCGCGCAGCCACAAACATCAAGTCCGCGTGCCCCAGATCTCCAACAATCTGACCCTGGGAATTGCGGATGACCGTGCCAATTGGTACTTTGATCACAGAATGCTTGGCATTCTTGCCATGGCACTCCTTGGAGTCTCCACGTTCACCCTCCTCGGCACGAAGCACGCTGCCGACGTGATTGAAATTGCGCACATCGTTGGACGCCTGGAAGACCACATGGCCCCCGTTGCCACCATCTCCGCCGTCCGGTCCTGCTCGCTCATTGCACCACAGCTGCAGAAAGGAGACGCATCCATCGCCACCCTTTCCGCCCACTGCACGCACCCGCTTGGCATCCGAAAAGTATTGCGCCTGAGAATGGAGGAAAGGGAGTTATGTAAATTACACAATGACTCTGGCACACTCGAACCTCTTTGCGTGTAGATTTTGGTTTTCTTGGACGCAGCGCAGTAGCTGCTTTGCAGTAGTTTATTTGTTGGCCCCTTTGTGCAATTACGTTCTTAGATATTTCAATAAATTGGCGCAGCAGCTGCGATCTGCCGGTTAGGAGCAACATTGTTGAATGTTTACGTTAGGTTTCATGTTTTTGTTGTTGCCCTACTTACTTGGAACTCATTTTGTAGCCAATAAAATAAAAAGAAGTCCTGAAAACTATCCAATCTTGTGGAAAATCAATTCATTAATTAAATTAAATTATCATTTCAGGGCTGAGAGTCCTAACTAGCTGGTAATATTAATTAGAAACCTAAAATCAAGGAAAATGATATAGGTTGCGGTATACTTAAGAAAGCCGTCTAATATTTTGGTATATTTCTTGATTATATTTTAACAACGCAAAAATACCTTTCTTTTCCTCACCAATTTCGCAGCGGGAAAGCCGTTGCTTGCTGACGGGGGATTTAAAATAAAACGAGTAGGAACGTTTGTGAGACGCTTCGTAAGCGTCACAGCTGGTAGCCGCTGTACATGAACGTCTTCATACTAGCTATTATAATGATCCAATCTAATCCCGATTTGGTGATCTGATAGCTAGGGTCATTCCCTACGGAATTGCATTTTCAAGCATTTCAAGCATTTTTTTAAGACTAACTAAGGATGGAAGGCTTATTAGAAGTAATCTACTACGGTAGGATGGCATTCTGACAGTTGCATCCAGTTCAGGCACCGCATGGCAAAAAGTACAAAGTTTTTCTGCACTGATTCAATACGGTCCTGATGTAAATTGTACTGATGTCTCCATACACATGAGCCGTACTTAGGGAGAGTCTCTGTTATATAGGGGTCATCAAATTGCTTTGACCACCTCTTTATAAACCCGAGCACTCCCATGGCTTTATTTACCATGGTAGAAATGTGTTCAGAAAACTTAACTTGGGGTCTAGTTTAACACCAAGATCATCAAACAATGTAATTCACTCAAGAGAACTACCGCAGAGGGTGTAAGCAGCCTTAAGGTGTAACATATTTACACAACACTAGACTGAAAGTTATTGAAATAGAGTGCATGCAACACATGCGACAAGGGCAAAAACGACCCGGCTCTCTGCCTACATTGTAAAGGCGATCATGCGGCTTCCTACAAGGGATGTCCAGCATATAAAAAGGATAAAAACCTGGCAGCACCAAGGTCAACCAGGACTCAGTACCAGCCAAATGACAAACATTTTGCCAGGCCAGACGTTGAGCACTACTGCAAGACCAATCTAATCGAGATATTGCCCATTTCCGAGACGCACTTCTCGTTAAGGTCGTATTTCACCATAAGGGGTTATGATCTCATCTACTCTAACCATCCCAACGGAAGAGCCCGAGGCGGAGCGGCCATCCTGGTCAGAAGCAATTTACAGTACACAGAACTACCACATATTCAGGAGGACTGGGTGCAATGTGAATCCATTAGAGTCAACACCGAGCTAGGAGAGCTTACGATCGCTGCCGCCCATTGTCCACAAAGGCACAATGCGAGAGATGAGGAATTATGCCCAACTGATAAACCTACTTGGTAGTAGATTTATCATCGGCGGTGTAGCTCCAGAGCCAACAACCTCAAGGGACAGATCCAGTCTAATAAGCTGAACTTCCACTCTACTGGTGCGCCAACTTATCGGCCCACCGATGCGCTAAGGGTTTCAGACGTTCTGGACTTTGCAATTTCCCGTGGCGTGGACCGAGGAATAATTCAAACTGTGGCAGACGGGGACCTCTTCTCTGACCACAGCGCGGTTAAACTGTTCATAAACGCCCCAGTAATGATGAGCTCAGCGACCAAGAGCTCCTTATGTATAGAACTACTGATGCTGCTAAGTACCAAAGCTGGCTGATCAGAAACACCAACCTAAATCCAATCTGAGACAGTGGCCAGGATGATGAGGCTGCTATTGACGCCCTTACCAACAACATTACATTCACCAAGCAGCTGCAAATGCGGCCCCTACAATTAGTCATCGGCACCGACCTAGGATCCTTGACAGGGAAATCCACCTATGGAGCCCCCAGATCGCCGAACTACTACACGCAAAACGCAGACTCAACCTGCGGTCGAAGCTGCTTGTCTGCAAGGCATCGTTAAACCAATATGTGCATACGGAATACAACTGTGGGGAACTACCAAACCAAGTAACCGGCGAATCATACAAATTTTCCAAATAAAGCCCTTTGAATAGTCGGTAATGCTCATATTTACCACGACAATGCCACAATCCACAGCGTCCTCAACATACCGAGGGTAACGGAAGTGATCACTGAGAGTAGCACCAGGTGCCTCACACGCCTGCACCAGAAGGATAACAACCTAGCTATTGGCCTGCTGGACAACAGCACAACCACAAGAAGACTTAAAAGAGATCACCCGCAAAGAGGAAATTTAATAATTGTCTGCAAAAGACAGATCTTAAATAAATTTGAAACACAACACCTTAAACCACCAAGTTTGGTTTTGCAAGGACTTCCTGCAAACGAGCTTGACTGGTTATGTATAGATCGATCATAAAATAATGTAAGATGTAAGATATTACTCTATAAGGTGATAGAATTTGTCCAAAATTTAAAAGTCGATATTTGCATTGCTCATGAAAATGGCGTAAGTATATCTTTTAGATTATTATAATATTTTAAATTGCGAAACTTACTCCTGAGGTTTGTGAACCGTTGGCATTTAACAATCAAGTGATCAGCATTTATCACAACTATCCGAGTCTGCAGCTTTGATCTTGAACAATAAGGGTTTGTCGAATGTGTGTCCAGTCATTAGTCCGTTTATCATTTTAATACTTTTGGCCCTCCATTCGCAATTGTATGCCACGGTTTTTTGGGTATTTCTGGGAAATACTCGACTAGATTCGTGCCCTTAGTTCTACATTGTAGCTTATAGTCCTCGAAATGATATATTAGAGAATGTTTTAAAGTGCTGGCAATTGGAATTCCGATGATCTCACCATCTGCAACAATCACTTCGTAGGCGCCACATAGAGAAAGAAAGACAATGAATTTGATTTCGCAATTTCCCATTCTTTACTGATAAGAAAGGACTCATCACACAGACAAGCTACTGATTATAACTAGTAGCTGCTCAAACATGGCGAACTTCCCATCGCAGTCTAAATGAGTTTAGCGCGTGACAAATGATGCTTTATGGACCAACAATTACTACTTCGCCGAAGGATGTTATTGATCTTGTTGTTCTTGTCTGTTCCCCGAATTTCTTGGCTAAAAGAACGCAGTTTTTGTAGCATAAAATATCAGTTTATTGGGGATAGGATAGGTTTGGAGTTTGGGTTTTTCGTGCTTATACAACTAAATGGCAAAAATCTTGACAATAGATTGCGAGCCCAGTCAGCAGCAATGGATTTTTTTTTTTTCAAGCAGAAGACGGCATACGAGATATGATCACTAAGTAATATTCCGGAATATTGATTATTATGTGCAATCGTTGGTCCGCTGTCCGGGAATGCCGCGCAGCTCCTGGTTGAGGGTGCGCAGAAGCGGATGCTTGCCACAACCGCAGCGGCCGTGGAAGTCGTCGAGATCCAGGGCCCAGACCATGCCACCGCCAAGCTTCAGACTCCGCACAAACTGCGCCTTGCGTCGAATATCCGCCACATCATCGTAGGAGACCCATTGATTGCCGCTGTAGGCATACGGACCGATGCGACCCTCCTCATCCCGGACCACAGTCCAGCCTCCGTTGCTGACCTTCTCGCAGATCTCGTAGTAGGCCAGGAATCCTCCGGCGCGTGTGTATGTTCCTGCTTGTCCGGGTCCCGCCGTCTTGTCGTTCAACGAGCGATGCTTTTGATCCGAAAGCGAAAAGGATTGTCCATAGAGCGGCATGCCCATGATCAGCTTACTCGCGGGCGTGCCCTGATCCAGCCAGTAGTGAATGCTGAAGTTCCCGTTAAAATACGGATTGGCATCGCCCTCAACATAGTACAGAGGCGCCACATGGCCCGTTTGCTTGTCCCAGTGGCCATGGAAGTCGTATGTCATCACAGCGATCCAATCAAAGTAGCGCGACAGCTGGGGCACATCGTAGCCCGCATCGATGACCATTTTGCTGGGCGACACAGCGGCTGATAGAAGCAATCCTCTGGGCCGGAAGGCATCCGATAGCTCCCTCACCAGAGCCGCAAATCCTTGCTTCTCTGCGGGTGATCCCTTGGCGCAGTCCACCTGCCAGCACACGGGATACTCCCAGTCGAGATCGAGTCCCTCAAAGCCATACTTTTCCACAAACTGCAGGACACTCTCGATGAAGCGCGCACGCGCCTGAGGGTCCAGCACCAAACGGGCATATTTGCTGCCCAGCGAATCATTCCATCCGCCAATGGCCACGGTTACCCGGAGACCCTTCTGCTTGTACTCCACCACTCGCTCGTAGAACCTGTTGTCGATATCCGCCCACGAGTCGTGTGTCTTGATGGTCAGCGAGTTGCTGTTTAGCACCGCAAACCCATACACAATGTGGGTGCACAGATTGGCATCGATATCTTCGGGAACGTACTTACCCTGCCCCGGACGATACCAAGCCCAATTGGTGAAGTAGCAGACGACCTTGTAGTCCTCTCCACTGCCCAACGCCGGTGCTGGTGTTGGTTTGGGTCTCGAAATGGGCTTCTTGTTGGGCGGTGTAAAGGGTTTCTTGGTGGGTTTTGTGGCTGCAGGAGCGACTGCCGTGCTGCTGCTGCTGGTAGGTTTTGGTCGATGTATGGCCGGTGCTTGGGTGGTTTGATCCGCGCGCACCGAGCATTTGGCATTGTTGGGCCAATCGCAGTAGTTTTCATTCCAATGAAGACCCGCAGGGCAGCTATAAAGGGAAACATTTAGCATGAACAAAAGAGGGGATTTAAATCTTTGGCCTACCGCTGCTCTACAAGCTCTCCGTATTGGCAAATGTAGTACTTGTTACAATCTCGCTCATGGGCCAAGTAATTTCTGCCTTTGCAGTCGATGGGCTGTCCAGCAGCGGCTACTCCTGCGGCTTCCGTCAGCGGAGAAGCACTCGTGTTGATGCTGGGCTTGGGCGGCTCCTTGTCGCCAGAAACTAAAATAATTACAGACAGAAAACATGAAAGGCCGTTGGATATGGGCTTAATGGCAGCGCTTACTCATAGTCTTCTCACTGTTCTCCAACAAACACTTGGGATGTGGTCCACCATAGCCACGCAACACACGATTAATGGTCTTTAGCAGGGGATACGATTCGCAGCCGCAGTCGTTTTTGAAGTCGTCCAAATCGAGGGCCCAAATCATGGCACCACCCAGACCCATGGCCTTCACGTACTCGCTCTTGTGGCGTATCATTGGGGCATCGTCAAAGGACACCCACTGGTCCCGGAGGTAGGCGAATGGACCCATTCTGCCCCTGGCATCTCTGACCACATTCCAGCCACGCTGTCGGATGTACGTGCAGATCTCGTAGTAGGCTAGGAATCCACGTGCTCTGGTGGCCTCTCCCGCCTCGCCACCGCCATAGGTGGGGGCATTCAGCTGATGATCGTTCGACTGGGCCAAGGAGAAGGACTGGCCGTACATGGGCATGCCCATGATCAGTTTGCGCCGATCGGCGCCACTCTCCAGCCAATAGTTGATCGAGAAGTTGGCATTGAAGGTGGCGGTGCCATCGGGATGCTCGTACATGGGCGCCACGTGTCCCGTCTGCTTGTCCCACTGTCCATGGTAGTCGTAGGCCATCACGGCGATCCAATCAAAGTAGCGCGACAGCTCGGGCACATCGTAGCCCGCATCGATGACCTTCTTGTTGGGCGAAACGGCAGAAGACAGCAGCAGACCCTTGGGTCTGAATGCCACAGATAATTCCCGCACCAAGTCGGTGAACCCGCGCTTCTCATCGGCCGTGCCTTTCTTGCAGTCCACCTGCCAGCACACGGGGTACTCCCAATCCAGGTCCAAGCCATCAAAGCCATATTGTTCGATAAAGTCCATCACATGGCGAATGAATCTCGCACGGGCCTGGGCACTCCTTACCAAACGCGCGTACTTATCACCAGCAGAATCGTTCCAGCCGCCAATGGCCACTGTGACCTTGACGCCCTTCTTCCTGTAGGCCACCACACGCTCATAGAACTTGTTGTCCAGATCCGCCCACGAATCGTGCGGCTGTATTGTCAGCTTGTCCCGATTTAACACCGCGAACCCATACACAATGTGGGTGCACAGATCCGCATCGATGTCCTCGGGCAGGAACTTGCCCCCGCCCTGACGGTACCAGGCCCAGTTGGTGAAGTAGCAGACCACCTTGAAGTCTCCAGGGGATGCCGGTTCGGTTTCCACTTCAAAGTCACCCTCCTCGATGTCTTCGTTGGGATCGACCTGGTTTTCTTGCGAGGATTCTGAGGAGCCGCCTGCCTCGTTGCTGGACTCTTGGGAGGAGGTGTGCCCTGGCTGGGCAGCCTCTACTTCTATGGCTTCAACTTCGTTTTCATCTTCTCCCGAGGTTACTTCTTCGCCTCCTGCCGCTGCTTCCTGAGAGGTTTCTCCTCCAGCCGCTGCTGCTTCCTGAGAGGCTTCTCCTCCTCCTGTTTCATTCTCCACAGAAGCGGTGCCGGCCTCCTCCGAAATGGCCTGCTCTTCCACTGATTCTGGCTCAACGGGGTTCAAGCCAGCTGTAAGGCAAAATTTGTAGAGCTTTTAACTGACACAAAATCGACTGCAGGTAAAAACTCACGCGCTGGTTCATAGCCACTGGGTGGATCCTTGAGGACATCGTGGATTTCCCTTAGCAAAGGATGCACCCCCTCACCGCATCGATTACGGAAGTCATCCAAATCGAGGGCCCACACCATGCCGCCTCCCAAGTCCAAAGCTCTGACCAGCTGCGACTTCTTTCGAATCATCTCGGGATCATCGTAGGACACCCATTGGGTGCCCTTGCGTGCATAAGGACCCATGCGACCGCGTTCGTCCTGGACAACCTCCCAGCCTTGATGCTTCACACGATCGCAAATCTAAGGAGGAACAATAGTGAGCTTTGCGGTCTTGTTTTGGTTAATCCCAAACCCCACCTCGTAGTAGGCCAAAAAGCCAGCAGCTTTGGTGAATTCTCCCGCCTGGCCGGGTCCTGGCGCCTTGGCATTCAGACCATTATTGTTGGCATTCTCCAGGGTAAAGGATTGGCCGTAAAGAGGCATGCCCATCACAATTTTACGAGAAGGAGCTCCCTTTTCAATCCAGTAGTTCAAGGAATAGTTCTGTGAGAGATCGAATGTTTCAAATCAAGGAAAAGTCATAGAAACTCTCCTGATGTTGTACCCACCGCATTAAAGTAATCAAAATCATCATCTGGATGATGATACAGTGGAGCCACATGTCCTGTCTTCTTGTCCCACTGTCCATGGAAGTCGTAGGTCATCACGGCAATCCAATCAAAGTATTGCGACAGCTCGGGCACGTCGTACCCCGCGTCGATAATCTTTTTGCTGGGCGAGACGGCCGTGGAGAGCAGCAGTCCTCGTGGCTTGAACGCCTCCGAGAGCTCACGCACCCATGCAGTGAATCCTTGCTTCTCCTCAGCGAATCCCTTGCTGCATTCGGTCTGCCAGCACACGGGATACTCCCAGTCGAGATCCAAACCCTCGAATCCGTACTTTTCAATAAACTCAAGAGCATGGCGGATAAACTTGGCACGTGCGGCAGCACTCCGCACCAGGCGACTGTACTTGTCGCCCTGGGAATCGTTCCAGCCGCCCAGAGCGAGGCTCACCTTGATGCCCTTGCTCTTGAGGCCGCTGACTCGCGTGTAGAAGTTGTTGTCAATGTCCGCCCAGGAGTCGTGGGTGCGCAGCGTCAGCTCGGAGTAGTCCAGCACTGCAAATCCGTAGACAACATGGGTGCACAGGTCCGTGTTGATGTCGTCGGGCGTGTAGCGACCCAAGCCCTTGCGGTACCAGGCCCAGTTGGTGAAGTAGCACACGACCTTGTAGTAGCCATCCAATGGCTCCAGCAGAGGCTTCTCCGTGGGATATGTGGGTCGGGGCGTCGTTGTGGGTTTCTTTGTCGTAGGAGCAGGCTTGGCTGCCGCTGGCGGCTTTGGTTTCGTGCCAGATCCTCCGCTGGATCCACTGCCTCCATTCTGATTGCACTTTGCAGCTGCTGGCCAATCGCAGTTCTTTAGAGCTTCATTGTAGTGCAGTCCCGGTGGACAATCGGCTGCCTGCAGGCGATTCCATAAGCAAAACAGATACTTGGAGCAGTCCCCAGGGTATGGAACTCTCTCCTCACCATTGCAGGGATCCTCCTCGCTGCTACGCGTCGATTGTGTGATCCGCAGATACTTTTTGCTCGTCACACACTGCACATTCTGAGGCCAGTCGCAGATCTTTCGTATGCCATCCCAGTGCAAGTCTCCGCCGCATTCGTTGGGCACCAGAGCACCATTGATGCAGATGTAATACTTGCCACAGTTCTTGTGCGTGTAGTACGCCCCCTCGTTGCAACGAGCAGACATCGGTGGTCTGGGACGCCTTGTGGTGCGATGGGGACGCTTTGTGGTGCTTCCAGTGACAGCTGTGGGTCTCCTCGTGGTGCTACCTCCCACTGCCGCCGCCTGCTGCTGCGTGGGCTTTGTGGGTTTCCGAGTGGGCTTCACACTGGTTGTGGTCTTTCTGGGTTTTTTGGATGTGGAAGGAGCCTGAGCCTGAGGTCTCGCCGTACTCGTCTCCCACTTCACCGAACATTGCGCAGAGGCTGGCCAATCGCAGCCCTTGGCATCGTTGTTCCAATGCAAGCCCCCAGGACAGAACTGCTGACGCAGTTCCCCCGCAATGATGCAGTGGTAATAGGCATTGCAGTTCTTCGCATCCGCATAGAACTCTCCTGCGGCACAGTTCGAGGGCTGTACGACGGGATAGATGACAGCAGCAGCGGGTATTGTGGTGTGTGCGGGTCTGGCGGTGGTTCGTGTGGGCTTACTCGGAGGTCGCCTTGTGGTCGTGGAACTCCACCAGGAGATCGTTGTGCTGGCTGTGGTGGTGCTCTTGGGTCTCTTGCTCGTGGTAGTCGTCACTGTGGTGGTTGTGGTGCTTGGCTTGGGCTTCGGCGTGGTGCTGATGCCTGCCTCCCAGCTGGGCCATGCTGTTGTGTGCTGATGATTCGGTCCTCCTCCCGCCGACCCATCGCTACTTATGGTAGTCATCTGTGGCGGCACAGGCGTCACCGCTGCCGGTGGACGTTCGCAGTTTGAGCGAGTTGGTGGCTCTGTATTCAGTCGACCCAATGCCCGATTGATGGCCTTCAGCAGGGGATACGATTCGCTGCAGCAACGATTCTGGAAATCATCCAAGTCCACGGTCCAGGCGGCCACACCCGCAAAGTCATTGTTGGCCGCATACCGGGCCTTGGCCTCCACACTGGCGGGATCCTCGTAGCCCACCCACTGGTCCTTCATCATGGCAAAGGGGCCGGATCTCCTGTTCGAGTCCCTGCCTGTCAGCCACTTGGACTTGCGAATGCGCTGACAAATCTCGTAGTAGGCCAGCATTCCCGGCTGCTTGGTTAGTTCTCCTGCCTCGCCCGGTCCTGCGGCTGCCACGCCCTCGCCGACCAACTTCTGTTGCGTTTTGGCCAGCGTAAAACTCTGGCCGTAAAAGGGAATGCTGAGTATGAGCTTCTCCCGGCGGGCACCCATTTTCACCAGCAGCTGCATGGTGTAGTCCGTGTTGTACTGCGGATACTTATCCGTGCTCTGACCATAGAGTGGACTCACATGACCCGTCTGCCCCTCCCAGGCGCCGTGATAGTCATACGTCATCACCGTCATGTAGTCTACAATGTCCGACAGGGCAGACAGCTCGTAGGCCTCCGTAATGATCTCTTTATAGCCGGAAATGGCCACTCCCAGCTGGAGTTTGGGGTTGACGCGCTGGAACTCGGTTCTTAGTTCCCTTAGCAGCTTCGTGAGATTCGGCTTATCGCTCGCTGGACCCTTGGAGCAGTCGCTCTGCCAGCACTTGGGATAATTCCAATCGAGATGGAGGCCACCGAAGCCATGTCGCTGCAGGAAACCCGTCACACTAGAGGCAAAGACCTTTCGCTTGATGTCATCGCTGACCAAACGGGAGTACTTGTCGCCACTGGAGTCCGTCCAACCACCCAGGGCAATCAGAACGGGCAAGCCCAGCGAGGTGATCCTCTTGTAATACTGATTCTCAATGTCCACCCAGGGATCGAATTCCCTTATGGTCAAATGATCCGGATCCAGAGAGGCAAAGGAGTAGATAATGGCGGAGCACAGCCGTGGATCGATCTGTTCGGGTGCAAAGTGTCCATCGGCCTTGCGGTAGAAGGCCCAGTTGGACATGTAGCACAGCACCTTGGGTGCCGCATTGTAGTTTTTCTTCTTCTCAGCTGCCTTGAGCTGCGCCAGTGCACCATAGGCGGGTTCCTGCTCCCCCAGATGCGACTGCGCCTGCGCCAGTGCGCCGTACGACTGGGGCTCCCTGTAGGGATCGAGCTCATCAATATGCTCCAGTTGCTCAATGTTGACGGTCTTCAGAAGGTGTTCTTCAATATCTGCACTCTTGAGGAGCTCCTGGTGCTCAGAACCCGCTCTATATGGCTGCGGATGATAGTCATCTGTGGTGCCTGGAGCTATGAAGGCCGCATATTTATCCGACACCGTCCAGGGATCTGGTTCCACCAGTTGCGTGAGTTTTTCGGGCTCTTGCTCCTCTCCCACATCGATATCTCGTACATAACTCTCAAAGTTTATGGGTTCTTGAAAGTCATTGTCCTCGTCCTCGTCACTTGGTGGCGCCTCAACGGAGTCCCTGACAAAGGAACGCAACGGTGAGGATTCCCTTAGCTGCGCCACATTCTTCTCGTTCACTGTGGGCACACTCTCCACGGCGCTGCGCAGCGGCAGAAAGGTGTCCCCGAAAGAGGGTCTGACGCTGAAACGACTCAGTGCACCGCCATCATCCTCCAGGGGCATGCTCTCCACGGCAGAGCGAACGAATGCCGGCTTGTAGCTGGGCGCCACGTGCACTTCCGGGGCCTCAATGCGTATGTGTCCATTGGCGGACACAGCACAGAGCCAGAGGAGCTGGAGGGGGGGGATGCATTAGAATATGCTGAAAGGATCAGGCAGGAAGGGAAATCTTACCAGAAGCCTGCAAAGCGTAGTAGACCTACGCATCTTCTTGAAATCAACTTCCAGTCAGGCTGTAAAGATAGATAAAAGAATGAACATCGATAAGGTCTGAATATCCCATACATATTCATGCTTCAGTTTTGGGAACTGCCCGTTGCACTCTTCTGTGTATGATTTATACCCTACATTGTCACGTCTGCCTACGACAACGCATGGGCTGTCGATGGGGTCTGGGGCTTGGCATACATACAAATTAGGTAAAGGCGTCTCGATGTACGTTCTTGGATGACAAATTGGGAAGTAAATGGGGAAGCTCATTATTGCCCGACGCCCGGAACTTGTTGAAATGCCTTTTGTTGTTAGTTTTGTATGGCCCCTGTAAATGTCAGTTGATTATGTTACCTGCCTATAGGCTGGGCACGTCCTAAATCTAACAACACCTTGAGGATTTTGCGCTTGTTTTTATCAAATTCTAAATAACTTTCCCACCGCTTGTCAACTGGCTATAAATTCGCATGAAAGTAAACACTTAAACTGGTTTAAATTCCGTCGAAATTTGCCATTAATTTCATATGTACAAGTATATTGTTCTCTTTATTGTGCAAAACAATTAAACTAATTCGATTGAAAGTGCCGAAAGATTATAAATTTACTTGGGGCTTCTGCGGTTTTGCGGGAGTTGGGAATGTTAAAAAGCTATGATTAGATTCAGGCCTTGCTACAACAGATAGTTTAATAGTTTACTTCACTTTAAACACTTTTAAACAAATGAGAGAGATTGAGCAAAAGCAAAAGATTCTTTAGAACCTGTCATTAAAAAGAGGGCAGGAGCACAAGTAGCAAGTAGATCCGTTTAAATGGCTTCCAGTTTTTAATTTAAAGAAGTGGAAAGCACAAGCAGAAAAGGCACCAAAACGATCGAAATTACGGAAGAGGAAGGGAAACACTCGGAAATGAGTGAAATATTCAATAAAATGCTAATGCAAAAGAATAGTTATGGAAGAAGAGGAGATTGGAAGCACATTGAGTTCAGATGAAATTAAATTTTAATTACTGCGGCGAATCTCGTTTGAAGAATAATGTAAGTGACTTGGATTTAATTGTTATAGTTTATTCCGAGCATAACCTTGATTATTTTACCTGGCAATCGTGCCACTAGATTCTTAGTTTTTCAGGCTAATTACGTACGAAATTATAACCCTGTGGCCGCACAAGCACATAGAAGTCATACTCATAAATGGCCCTATTCTGCCAAATAATCTATTTGCTTGCCTTCTGGTTGATTGATTTATTTTTGTCGTCGAGTGCCAAGCCCCTTTCCCTTTCTCCCACTCCCCCACTCACTGTTGAAAGGTGTTCTGTTTTGCCAATTTCTTTTCTTCTTTCGACTTCGATATGCAAATGGCCTAAGAATTGGGTTAAGAGCTTAACGATCGTAACCGGTTTCTGTGGTTTGATGTTATTCTTTTCGATTTGTGGAGGTCCCCAAATAACGATACGTAACATCGCTGATTTTATGGTAATTATGAAGAAATGTAACCAACGACAGCAGCAAAAATATGTGTAAAAAGACGTTGGACAAGTTTTGGTTGGGATAAACAATCTTGGGGATAAAACTCTTTCTCTTGGGAAAGCGCCTGCAACGGAACGGAAAGGGACGGTTCAGGTTCTGGGGGTTCATTGAACGCCAACACCAGTGATCCCGAGATCTTTCTTTCTGCTCTCTTGAAGCTCCTGGGATGCTCAATGGGATTGCGCAATGTGCGTCCGGTTTGCTGGCTGGGAGCTTTCTTCGTGGGAGTGTAAGGTGAAAGGTGTTCTGATCTGGTCTTAGAAAAATTTATTTTTTGCCAGCGTGGAAGATTTTAAATTTTGTGTGAGAACTTGGATACTGGGGATATACATATATTTACACTCGAACGAGTTGTATATAGTGGATTTTTGTGGCACTATTAAAAATACATTAACTTCATTGGAGTCTCTGTTTCAACTCGAATTTCCCATGCACTTCACGTACAAACGCACCGACTCACTCACTCAATCCACCAACAACTGGACACATCACTGTATGCATTCGTACATTAATTTTACGGGTTTTTGTTGGCTTATTCTCAAAAAACTGGCGACACAAATTCTAGAAAGAAAGTGTACCCCACACACAACACTGCACTCCTCCCACTCACTCAGTTCTTAAGAATGGTATTCCAATGGGTAATCCGAAACTTCTTTCACTCCTTTCCTTCACTCGTTTTAATTCGCGTTCAACGTTCACGCATGCGCGGACGCCATCAGACTGTTGCGAACCAACCTGAGGCGGCTCCTATTTATACTCGATTAAACGCAAAAAAAAGAAGGAACGTCACCAAAAGAACGTTCTAAAGTTTTTTAAAAGAAAGATGAAAGGGGGAGCTTTGTCTAGCCCCAAAGCGTTGCCTGTATGCTCTACGAAACGAGGGTATACCCTGCCATAAAGTTATGGGATTAAAAGGTGCTAAAAATAAGATAATCTGCAATAAAAATGTAGCCCAAAAATTGAATATTTTATAGCAAAAATAATGTTTATTCTTTTCCAGAGCAATAAAGTAAAATTTTAAGCCGATTTGTTAGGGTATCCCAAAGAATTATCTTTACTCCGTATAATTTATGTAGACATAATGCAAAACCCAACTGTTTTTGCTGCTTTTTGCTTTGTTTATGTGAGAGTAGTGAAATAAAAACAAAAATTCGTGGACAACACCTGCAAATGGAGGGGCTTCCGATGTCAACGCCCACGTAGTCGTATTGTAAAACTGGTCCATTTCTTTGGGATCGTATGGTATGAGATGCCGATACAAAGAAGCCTAATTAATATGCTTTGAAATATTTGCATAATGGTGTGCTTCTGGCCAACATTGTTAATGGCAGGAATTGCAGCACTCTGGATGATTGATGGATGCTGGAGTGCGACAAAGAGACGTTTCGTTGGGGATTATTCAAGGTAGGAAGTTTCTTAATTTGTTTTGATTTCAGAGGCCATTCACTTGTAACTGTATAAGAAGTGGTTAAACTTGTTCAATTACAAGAAAGATTCCCGAAAATGTTTAGAGATTTTATGCAGATTAATGTACAGAGTATTTTATGAATGAAAGTGGGAATGGGGATCGATTCAATTGAATTGAATATTTAAAAATTGTTAACAATTGAAACTCCCATGAAACTGTATGGTAAAAGTAATTATAATTATAAGGAAGAAAAAGGGTTATTGCTTGCCGTTCTTCTGGTTAGATGTTGTTTTGCAGCTCTAACTTTTTTCTCTTCTCTGTTCAGTTTATCTAAAATAATTTGTTGGTAGTGGTTTGTTTGTATGTTTGTTTGTAGTTTTTGTATTTTGTTGGTTGAATAATTTAATTTAAAAAATCATCTTGATCTCATCGTACAACCCAAGAACGAAAGCACCGCCAGTGCCTCTAAATCGTTGGAGAATGCGCCCTTGAAGAAGACACCAGGACCTTGCTGCTTGGCGATGGTGTCCCAGCAGTACAGTATGTTCTTGTAGATGATTTCGGTGACCTTTCGACCATCCCGAGAATGAGTTTGTGCATGAATGCCTCCCCATTGCCAATTCGTAGGTCCACTAGTTTAAGCCTAGAAAGTTTTGGCGGTAAGAGTCTGTCAGAGTCCCAGTTCAGATTCAGTGAGTGTATATAAAAATAAAAAAAATAAATAAAATCAAAGAAATCGGTGATTAGTGTGACGGTCCTGGACGGTGATGATTTTTCCATCAATACCGGTGTTCCTTACCAAAAGAAAGGATTAAATACCATTATTAACCATTATGTTGTAAAGATAGAAGAACTGTCCCCCAAGCCACTCCGAGCTTATTAAAATATTTACCTATGTTCCTTTTTCCTTTCAGTGAAACAATATGATTTCTTTTCCTCTTTTGTTGCGCTCACATTTTTTCAAAAAATTTCATGATATCAGTAAGAATACATGTCTCTACATGTTACATACACGTACATACTGAACAAAAAGCTCTCTTGCTTCCAGAAGGGGTGACTTAAATGGGATGATATTCAGGGATGATATTCGGATGGAACCGTTACCGTTCTAGCGGCTGTACGCCAGGTAGTACTCAGATCGCCAAATAGTCGCCGATAGTATTTTGTGGTATTGATAGTATTTGTGTGGTATTCGTTGGTATGTTGCTAGCAGCTCGACATATATAGATCTATTTTATGTTCCGAGACGGTACCAAGCAAACAGAGAGTAAAGTCTCATTCAAATGGAGGCAACAATGCCTCTGAAGTTGAAAGATAAATGACCACCTTGCTTCTAAACGAGCCTAAGGCCATCAAACGGCACAGAAAGGAAACAATTATTATAGATTAATGAGATTAAATTGAATTTATTTGCATTTTAAATTTGTTTAACTTATTTGAACGCATATTGCTTCATGTTTCCAAGACGCAGACCGGGATAGGCTGTTAACAAAATGTTGTTTTCCTTTTGGGACCAAGTACTGCTGCACAGGGAGTCAAGACTATCAAATTGTAAATAGGAAGGGTGCTTGGAGGCGCCGTCTTACAACTTTGCCACGGGCGCAAATATTTCTTGTCAAGGCCTTGCTGCTCCAATCAAAGAAGGATGCAGATGTTATTCCCCGACAACTGCAAATTCTTTGTCATATTTTCAAACTGCGGAATATGCAAAGGGTATCGTTTTATCGGTTTCCATAAATGAACACATATTTATATGATTTATAATACTCAAATGTATAGACACGACCGTCCTGGTTTCTTTCCTGCAGATATGGGTTTAATCAAAGTTGTCGTCGCTTATTTCGTTGATTGTCCTCCTCCTCCAATCATGCAAGAGCCGCCAGTCTCACTAAAATAATCTTTTGCATGGATCCATTTTGCATTCAATGTTTTATTAACCTTTTATTCAATTTTCACACATTTTCAAAAAGGTAAGCAAAACAACACAGCTGCCTGAGGTTTTCACCTCTGGTTACACTCCGCTCACTAAAAGTTTGTTTTTCGATCTGAGTACTAGGCTTTACACGCAAAACAATATTTTTTTTGTTATATCCGTCCCTTGGATATCGGGTCAAAAACACCCCTGACTTCCCCGAGAGCTAACCGGGAACGATAGACCAGGGCGGCAAAAAGGCGGATCATAACATATTAAATAGAACATCAAAATCGAGGAAAATAATTTAAGATTCACGGTATATTTACTGTATATTTTGAAAATGCAAAGGTATATTTCGGTATATTTCCGAGGGTCTGTCTGTCACACTGCTGTGAACGTTTTGCTGGTAAACAAAGTTAGAAAATCTGGAAAACTGTGGAAAAACAGCACATTGCTTTTATTGTTGCTATTAGCGGCACGAAAACAATTTGCATTGTAGTCAAGAGCAACAACAAAGGACACCTGCAGTGCCGGAAACAACAACAACAGCAGCAGCAGCAGGAGATAGATAGCAATTGCAGCTGCTGTGGAGGTTATTTATAGCAACCAAACAGGCTGCCTGCTGCCGAACAGCCCCCCCACAGAGGAGTGGGTGTGGGTGCCCCGTGCGCCTGCCTCTGTAATTGGCCGCAAAGTCCAAGGATACGTGTGATATTATATCCTTCTCCAGTCAAAGTCAAGGTAAGTGTAAGGGTGACGTGACGTGACGCGGTCGCTCGTCTCCTTTTTAGGCCGCCTTTTTGCTGGCGTGAGTTATGAAATTACCGCAAAACGAGTGTTGTGCTTCCTGCCTGCATGTCGTCTGTTAAAAACTATATGAAAACTTTCTACCATTAGTTATTCGAGAATCATTTGCGGAAATGGAGTCTTCGGCAGCTGTGGCAAATATCGCGAATCCCCCCTCGGCTGTGGGCACCAATGCAACGACAGTGGCCGCCAGCAAGCGGAACAATCAGCAAGGACGCAAGAAGTCTGGTCCCAAATTCGAGCTATCCGACGCACAAAAGTCGGACATTAAGGAGGCCTTCGATTTGTTCGACAACGAATGCACCGGCTACATCGAAGTCAAGGAACTAAAGGTGGCCATTAGGGCCCTCGGATTCGAGCCAAAAAAAGAGGAAATCAAGCGAATGATTGCGGAAATCGATAAGGATGGGAGTGGCAGGATTGCATTCAATGATTTCTTGCACCTAATGACCATGAAAATGGCCGAAAAGGATACAAAAGAGGAAATACTGAAGGCCTTTCGGCTCTTCGATGACGATGAGACAGGAAAAATATCGTTTAAAAATCTGAAACGTGTGGCCCGTGAATTGGGGGAGACCCTCACCGATGAGGAGCTGCGCGAAATGATTGATGAGGCGGATCTGGACAACGATGGAGAGGTCAACCAGGAGGAATTTCTGCGGATAATGAAAAAGACCAGTCTGTATTAGAGATGAGTTGCGACTCGTTTAATTTAAGATTTGCATTCCGTTTAGTAAATGTTAAGTTTCTGTGGCTAAGCTTTTGATGTATTTAATCCATTCATTGCCTCGTATGTGTCTTTGTTTCTCGCTCTCCTCTGGAGGTTGCTTTAAGCTGTGTTACTTTCAAGCTGTGTTCCTTTCTAGCATCCCACTGACATACAATACACACGAATGTACACAAACATTCAATTAGCAGCTAAGACAACAACTATGAAAAAACCTCCGCGCACTGGCTGTATTTTTGCACAACAACCACAAACAAAATAATCTCAAGAATGTTGAAATAAAATAAAAAAAACCCTAGTAACTATTGTTGTTTAGATATGATTTAACATTGTGAAATGCAATAAATGTTGTTGAATTACATGTTTGAGTTTGTGATTTCAATTGTGAAAAAACGAAGGTGCAAAATGTTTCAAATTGTGATTTCATTTAGATTTCATTTTAGATTCATTAACCCATTTGCATTTCATTCAATATTTTCAAATGGTTTTTACAATCATTTACCATAAAGCATTTTCTGTGGAATATTTGCCTAAAAGTAGATCCTTAAATTCTTAGCTATGGCTGCCTTACTCCTTCTCAGACTCATCCCCTTAGCATAGCAAAACAACATGCATTGCGTGTGAATGAAGTGCTGATCGACTCGACACTGGATAACCGTCACCGAGCCCAAAAGCTTGTAGCCAGGAAACCAAAAACAAAATATCTGCATAGCGTGTCTCTGTTCGTCTTGAGTTTTGCTGACAACAATTTGTTGTTGGACTGCTTCCAAAAATCTAAAAGGGTTCTTGAATATTTATTTGTATTTTTAATAAGTTTCGTTGCCTTTTTATTGGGGGAAAACATTTAATACTTTTTGCCAAACTTAAGAACTAAACAAAACTCTCTCTATCTCTCTCTCTCTCTCTCTCTCTCTCTCTCAAATTAAAATAAAATTCGTTTCCATGTCTTTATTTGTTTCCTCTTAGACAAAGGGCGCATTGAAGTAGATTTTACGCTTGCTGGGCAATGGTTTCGTGCTGAGCCCAGAACCCTCGATGAACTTTTCAAAACTGGCCAAATTCTTTTTCATTTGCGTGGCCTTGGCGGGCGAGAGATGTAGCTGTGGCTGTGGCTCCAACTGTGGCAGGGATCCCTCCTCCTGCTCCTCCTCCATTTCAGGCTGCATTCGGAGATCCTCTTCTTGGTGGTAGTCCTCCTCCTGCTCGTACTCCTCATCCAGATTGTACTCATCCGCGTCGGCATTGATCAGGCATTCATTATCCTCGCTTATCTCCTCCAGCATGCCCTCGGTTTGGGGACTTTTCGACGTCGAAGTCACCTCCTGACTCCGTTCGTACTCCGCATCGAGATTATACCAATCGAATTCTGCCTGCAGGGGAAGATCGCTGGCGGCGTCTGCCAGTTGGAGCAGAGACTTGGACACGGGCGTGCTGTTGTGGAGGCTCTTGGGCGTTGTTGGAGTCGTTGGAGAGCTCGGCAGACTCATTCGTTTGTTAATCTCCGCCAGAATGTTGGGCACATGCTTCCGTTTATATTGCGACTGCAGAGGAGAGGGCTGCAGGGGCAACTGCAGCTGCAGCTCCTGCCTCTTGGGGGTCATCATCAGATACTCGGAGGCGGATTGCTTGGGCGCTATAATGGCCGCAACATTGGGTAGCTTTGGTATATCGGCGAAAATCTCTTCGATTTCCTCAGTCTTGTACGATTGATTGTCATCTGAGTCCACCTCGGGGTCCACCATCTGTGCCCGTTCCACTGCTGGAGGGGTGGTGGCGCATTCCGGAGCCTTGTGTACATCGGCCACAATCTGCACACGCACACTGGCACTCATGCCCACCTCCGAAATGGAGCAGTAATCCGGCTCCGAGACTGTGGTACAATCATCTTCGCGAAGCGCTGCCTCATCCTCGAGGCTTTCCTCCAGTTGGTGCAGGGATTTCTTGAATTTCAACAGATTGGCAGGCTTGGGCGGCAGGGCAGGTGGCAGTTTCTGCAGTGGCAGCTGTTTCGAGGCATTGCCGGAGGAAGCAGACTCTCCGGCTCCTGTGTCAGCTGCAGCCGCCATATCGACATATAAATTGGAGGCGCGCTCAGAGCCAATAGGCTCATATTCATTGCTGTAGATGCTCTCGTAGGCAGAGGTCATGGGATGATAGTGTGAGATCATTGAGGCAGACATTGGATGAGACTCCTGCTCCTCCTGCTCGTGTTCCTCCTCTTCGTGGTCGTCGTGGCGTGGCACATGCACCATGCTGTTCTTGGTGGAAAAGTGAACACGTTTGCGGCCATTCGAGACGCTTCTGCCGCTGAGGGAGCTTCTGCGTGGCAGATTGGAGGCAGCTCCAGCCATCGCGGACTTCGGCGTGGGCTCCCGCAGGGTCTCCTCCATGGATTGCTGCAGAAGGATCTGATTGACGCATTCCAGAACTGGATTGACGGCACCATGGCCATAGGGCTGCTTGACAGTCGATACCCGGGCCGTGGAGGCTGTCTCCTCTTGGTCCGAGGCACTGGCATACCAATCATCGGTGGTCGTTTCATAGATCTGCTTGGGCGAGGCCTCCGAAAAGTCGGCACACCGTCGCTGTACGATTTTGAGGGCTCCGCGTGACATCATTTGCTGCTCCTGCTCGGGGTCCAGTTCATCGAAGTCCTCGTCGTCTTGGGTGGGCGAGAAGATGCCATCATCCTCTTCCAACAGTTGTGGCGTCGTTGTCTTGCTGCTGCGGCTGTTGCTGTTGCTGCTGCGACTCGAAGAGCTGTTCCGTCTCCTTTGCTGCTGCTGCTGCTCCAGCTCCAGGCTGCTCTGCTCGGAGTATTCCCCATCCTCCATCGAGGCGGGTTTTACCCCGTGCATGCGCTCCATGGCCCTCGAATAGTTGTGCAGCTGTTCGTAGCTCGTCTGGGAGTCCTCGCGTGAGATGCTGCTGGTATTCTCCTCCGACTGCTGCTCCAAGGCTGCATCATCGATGTGCATGGCCCGCGAGCGCATATAGTCCCGGAAAGTGCCCGCCGTGCGCTTGCTGGTGTACCGAACGCTGCGTCTGGCGCCGTAGAACGACGATGAGACGGTGTCATCGCTGGAAGAGCCAGGCTCTGCCATAAAGACAGAAAATCAGTAATTTAGAAGGGGTTCTTTAAGGGGAACATGCCATTTGGTGGACTCACCCTTTCCGCCTACGCCTTGCAACTCTTTGCTGCATGTCTGTGTGCCGCTTGCTGTCACTTCAATGTCATAGAATTGCTTGCGGCAATTCTGGCATTGCAAAGCCTCCAGCACCAAACATTCGTCAGAGTCCTGATCTGCGATGCCCTCATCCGGCTGCTGGTCCTCCAGACGTTTCCTCAGTGCCCGATTCTGTCGCATCAGGCGACAGATCTCTGTATCCCTCTCCACCAGTCGCTGATTGACGGCCTTCATGTCGTTCTTTAGCTTCGATTCGAAACAAATCAAGGACTTTACCACGCAGGCCAGCTCCTCAGTGCGCCTTCGCTTCTCCTTTGCCAGATCCCGATGCAGTTGTTTGTTCTGCTGATCATAGTTAGAGATCATCTGGAGTAGACGTCTCCGCTGCATTCGCTCGGGCGAGGACACCGCTGCTGTAGCAGGAGGAATCGCACCCGAGGAACTGGAACCAGAAGAGGAGCGTTGCACCTCGCTGCCACTGCCACTGCTGCGTGCATTCCGTGAGGACGTATGCGAGTTGTCCGAGTTCTATGGATTGGATAAGCAAAAGGGCGTTTTAGTTGAGGTATGACTAACGTTGCCTTAGGTCCTTTGGCTACCTTCGTGTGTCCCAGCAAATGAAAATGTTTCAATTTTCCCACCATTTTCCAGCAATGAACCTTGCCTGGAGCCCTATCAGTGACAAGTGTCGAAAGCCAGGGAGCTAAATGTATTTTATCGCTGTACTCGAATCGTAATGCAAATGACGCACAGTTTGTGGCGTCTGGGAACGGGATTACCATGGGCACCCATCAGGGAGCACACCACCTGCAATGGGCATGTCATAGGATAACACAGGATAACACAGATAACACAGGCAGTGTCATGGATAACACTCTACGCGAAAGAGGGTCTTAGGAAGCTTAAACTGTGGTCTTAAATCTGCAATTTCATGGTAAAAAGGTCTATCTGAGAAAATGGTATCGTTGGCATAATGAAGAACTCTAACATGAAACAAGAAATCAAAGTATCCTTTTATTTATTGGACATCTTTAGCAGGGATTTAAAATGTGTTTAAACGAGGCCCAATTACATACATTTCAAATTTTGAATATTATCGACATGACTTTTCAGTGACAGGAAATAGTCGAAAAAGGGTATTTCAGGCATTCCAAAGATTTGTAAGTTTTTCGATTTTATGGCACTACTATCTTGCCTATTTCGAAGAGTACCTATAGTTCGTTTTCATAAACTTTCACTGCCTTTCTCCTGCTATCTTATCTTTTGCTTGGGGCCAGGCTGTCCCTAAACATATCAACAGAACACATGGCGCTACGTTCCATGCATCTATTTACAGATACATAAACATATTACTCTTATATTATTTCGTCGCCTTTTGGTTCGGTGGCGGATAATATTTGGCATTGTTTTTGGCTATGTGTTGTACTCGAATGACCCCCCGAAAGCAATGTCCAATGAAGGTCTGTTTCTGCATGATATTCCAGCCGAAACAGATACGAGTATCACACGTCTCTACGTGCATCTGCAGATGCAGTTGGGAGATACGTGTCCGGGCTATGCGAAACATGCAACAGACAGACAGACGGACAGAACTACGGGTTAAAAGGTGATGCAATATCTTTTGGATGTCGGTCAAGTAATTACGGCCAAGGCGATCATTAAAAGTGTGCCACTTTCCCGCTCATTAGAAAGCAATCAAGGGCAACCAGTCCTCGTATGCTTGCGGTGACACATTTCAGATTCAGATTCATTTTATCAAGCCAAAGAAAAAAAGGGTGTAAAGCTTATCTGCGGGTTATGGGAAAGTGTCGTAATGTTTCATGGCTTTGTTGGCTTAAGATATCTAGGAAGATAGGTAGCTAAATCTGTGGTTATTTGTGGATTTGTGCCAGACTAACTTAAGTGGAGATAGTGGATATTTCTAGGGATGACCGCCCAAATTTCAACTTGAATTTTCAAGTTATATTTTGACTAACCTGCTCGACAATTTGCTTCTGCAAACGTGAACCAAAACTCAGTTTCTTGTAGGCCGGTGTGTGGCCAGCTGCTTGGGTGTTGAATGCAGGCTCCAAAGTGGGTTCCGGCAGCTTCTGGTAGTGCTGCAGCAGGATGGTCGAGGATGTACCCTTGGAACGCATATTTACTTCGTTGCTGCCACACGACTGTGGCTGTGGCTGTGTTTGTGGCTGTTGCTGTTGCTGTTGCTGTGTGGATGATGTCTTAACCTGCACGGCCTCATAGAACTCGCCGTCGCCGTGACTGCGATAGCTCCCCTGGAGGCAACTGAAGCCGCCCCAGTCCGAAGATGTCTGTAGATTAGAGTACAGGGGAGTGCTGCTCGGGCTCTCGGTTGGGGATGTTGCTGCTGCGGACTTTCCACCACTCTGGTGGCACTTGAGATTGTCGTAGCCGTTCAGCAATTCGCTTTTGATGAACTTTTCGATGAACTGGCTTGGAGACTTGCCACTCAAGTGAGAAAAGAAGTTGCCCCCCGTGTCGCTGAGGCTGCTGGTCGATCTGCGATGCTGTGTGGCAGCTGTGGCACCCTTCTTGTGGGGCAGACTGTTGCTTTTCGAGGGCTCTTCTGTAGTTTGATGATCAGCTGCGTTTGGTGCGGGCTGTAGTCCATAGATTTGGGAGCTGCTCAGCAAACCAAACATATTGATTGGATGGCAAGGATCTGCTTTGTCTGTACAGGGCTCCGGCTGGTTCCTGCTACTGGGCGTGGGGCAATGACTGGCTCATGGTCAAGTCTTTTTGTTTGTTTTTCAGAAAGCGCTAGAAAGTAGCCAGAAAAATGAATATTTATTATTTAATATTCGGAGAAAGACGCAAATTATAGCAAAAATGTTATTTAACGAGAAAAAAATGCAAAGCTATTTCTCTTTGTTGAAACTGGTTACACGTTCAATCTGTGAGATACACACTTAGCCCGCAAGATACAATCATTTGTCTGCATATTCGTAATCACTTCAACAATTAAACCGCATCGCATACACTCGTACTCGTACGATATCATGTCTCAAATGATTGGACGATCAAAGGTTTAGCAATCCATTAAGTTTTCACAGATATTTTCCACTTATGTATCTACATACATATCTGAAAATGTCGCGAGTGTTTTTATACCCGGTATTCGAAGAGTAATTAGGGATGTATGTAACGCACAGAAGGAGACGTTTCCTTCCTAGACTATAAAAGCTAGAGTCACCAAATTTTGCACCCAGACTTCTGTCTGCAAAGTGTATTTCAAAAATGAGCCAAGTGGAACTAAATGCTCCCTACTCTATCTAAAGTGAATAAATATATAAAATATTCTAGCGAAACATCATAAATAAAAATATTATATTTTATAGTAGCTGTCCAATCAATTTTACATTTAGTGTCGTGTAACCTTCCATTTGGACATTTGGGAAGAGACCCTAAAAGCGATTATAAATACAAACCGAAACCGAACACACACATTTTCCGCTGACAGATTGAGCCATCAATATGACTTATGTATGTATTTCCATTGCTATGACGTATGCTTTGGTGCTTCGGTTCCACACATCATTGAATTTTTGATTTGCTTCTTTTTATGGTCCCTAATTAAATTTACGAACGTACGATCCAGCGAGCCAGCGATCGATTTTTAGGCTGCATTTTAGGGTTTTCTCTTATCTTTAGGGCAGTGGTGGAGTGAGTGGTGTGTCCCCCTTTGTTGTCGCCTTTTTTCAACATTAATTTACAACAATGGCTCATTTATTTATTAATTTTCAAACACGCTGAAAATTGGTTGCAGTCCATGGGGCAAACGACCTTGATTGTGGGTGGGGGTCTAATATCGAAGGTTCTTTCTTTCTGTATTTAATTATCTCGTTGCAACGGACACTTCCGGAACACACACACATTATGACAGGTGCCGAAAGAGTGTCACACATACATACATGGACTATTTCATATATTATGTAATTTCTCCTACACTTGAGTAAGAAGGGGAGGTTCTCTTGTGGGTAGCAGAGCAGACCTCTCTGTCGACCTCGTTACGCTATAGAAAAACATAAACTTTTTGCTTGCTTTATGAGCTGCAAAGTTGTTAAATAAAAATGCTTAAAAATGGTAAAACAAAAACATGGTTAAAAATGGCAATTAAAAAGGAAAACTAACGCAAACAGAGAAAAACTGAATGCTGAAGCAAAATGAAGTCGAAGTCGAAGTCTACTGTGTTCAGTCATTTGGTTTTGGCTTTGTAGCTTTGTTGGCTTCACCTTACATTTTCATTTGATTTTCATTTGTTTCTGAGCGTGCTTGAAACTAATTAAATCACAGCGAGCCTGCCCCATCCACGAATGAAGATGATGAAGCAGCCGTGCAATCCGCAGAGAGAAAATTCAAACCAAAACACTTTTCCAAATTAAGTTAAAGCCATGATCATACCCACAATAGCAGCAACATTGGTGCTCTTTCCTATTTTAATCTCTTTCTCTCTGACGTTGGGAAAGTATCACCACGTTAATTCATGAATGCATTTTAAGGAGAGACTTATGAATATCCCCATACTACACTCGATTAGGGATCGGTTTTTAACGATTTTTAGGGGATATCTATGAATATCATCACTCAATTCGGAACCGCATCTGCTATATTAAAAGGGTTTTTGGTAATCAAAAGAGGTTTTTTTGGACATTCTTTTTGTATTTAAGACATTTAATAAGATCGCATTTTTATATAATTGAGAGTTTTTCTGACTATTTAACTATTTAACAAAGTTGTTTAAAACAAAATGTATGAGCTTAACTTTTCAACTTAACTTTCAAAAATTAATAGATTTCATTTTTAGGAGTCTTCATAATGCATTTATTTTATAGATTTGATGAAATAAGATACTATTTAGAGTATTTGAGAGATTTTCTGATGAGAAAAATAGATAAAGCGTCCCAAGAATCTTTAAGTAATAATATAGTAAGTAATAAGTAATCCCATACATATGTAAATAATATAGTTTATAATAATCTCATATATGTTTTCAGTGGTTCAAAATATAATACAAATTATCTTAAATAAACGTGTGTTTGTGCCCTCCAGCTGTTCCACGTTTATGCCATGACATTTTATGATAGACAGTTGATAAAAGGTTCTTCTGCAAGTAATTTACAGTGTTCTAAATCCACTCTTCGAACCAATAAAATATAGATTTAAATCCATAAAATGATCCCCAAATCCCCAAAACTCCATAATAAATCACAAATTTACATCAAAGACTAATAATTTGTTCGCTCAGTCTATCCTTATTATCCATCACTTGATTGGCAAATCCATAAACCAATTATCTTAAACGAGAAATCAGAGCCTGAGACAGAGACGAGATTGGAGACGGCTTGTGTCCATTTGTTAGCCCCTTTTAAGCTGTTTGTTGGTCATCTAATCATTTGTCTAACTAGATTTTACCATATTCGCTTTATAAATATTTCATATCGACTCGGAATCGATCGTTCCTCTCAGTTCAAGATTTATTATAAATTCAAATCTCCTCAGTCCAACCGACCGATCGCTTCGCTCTGCACTCTGGCTGCGATGACAGAGTCTGAAACAGTCTAAGCCTCGGCTTAGAGCCTAAACAAATTTGTCTTAATTGGCCAAGACGAATTGCTGTTGCTGCCTTTTTAGGCTCGAAACGGGGCTCAGACCGGGTCCGCCTTACCCGGCCAGTGGACCCACCCCGAGCGTCGCTTCTGGCTATGAAAAATGTTGAAAAAAAAGCGTCTTGCTTGTGAAATATTAAAATCTCGTTAATGCCGCAGATCTCTTGGATTAACTAAAATAAATAGAGGGAAAGGTAGCGCCCACTAGGGAACGCCTCTCTCTGCCACGCATCCCATCCATAAGCCAACACATTTGTCGCAGATTTCATTTCCAGAGAGAAATGGGAATGCGAACAGGTACAGGTATTATCTTTTTCTACTTTTGTTCCCTTGATCCTCTGCTGCCGCTGCTGTTGTCATCTCCTGCTGTTTTTGCGGATAAAAAGTGTTTCTCGTGATCCTTGGGAAAGTGAACAAATGGCTTATCTATCAAATAGAACTGTAATTTAGTTGGGTATTCCAAGAATGCTTTCCCAAAAAAAGAAACTAGAGAATAAATCTAAGTAAGATCGAAGATAAATAGGTATGGCTATAACGGAAGTGGGTCTATCTTTTATAAAAGAACCAAATTAAGATTTAGCTGAGAAATTGATCATGGAACAATAAAATTATATGACAATTGTACTAGATGTTTCTTCCTACATTCAATCTTAATCAATACTTAGATACCTCTGATTTTAAATGAAGCCATCTCCAAGGCAACCACTTAATACATCTCCCAATATATACAATCTCGTAGACCCTTAGAGACCTGCTTCTCTGATTCATCAAAATACATTAACTACAAAATACTAATCCCAAAGTCTGTGAGTTCTTTTTCGGCCACCCTACACGACCTGTAGGATGCGGGTGCCTCCAGCTGTGGCTTGGATAAAAAAAAAACGAAAGAAAAAGTGAAAGGAGGAGGCAAATCTGTGGAACAAGGTTCGGCTCGGCTCCCTGGTGTGACATTTTGTCGCCTTTTAGGGACGTGCCAATGCTTCCACAGCTCGGACTTAAGACATGCCACACGGGGGACAGAACCTGTGGAACTGTTACAATTTTCCAGCCAAAATCGCTCGCCTTGGGTGGTGTCTGTCCCGGCATACGTATTCATGACATGTTCAAAGTGTGTGGAAATTAATCAAAAAGTAAAGAAAAGTCGAGAGAAAAGGAAAGGAGAGCTACAGGGAGGAGGGATAATAGAACAAAGGGATGCCGCAACGGAAAAGAGCACTGCATAGAACATTCCGCTGATAACAGCGATTGAAGCGAAACCATCTACCTGTAGACTGTGGCCGGCTTCGCATCAGGACAACTACCTGCAGAATTTCTGATAAAGAATCTCCGGTTTCCAATGTTGCATCTTTAAGGCTCCTCGAGTTGTCAGCTGTGTGTGTGTGTGTCTTGGACATTTGACATAAACTCGTACGCGTTACCTTTCCCTCAATGAAACCCTAGTCGAAGAATGTAAACGACTTCTCAGATCAAACGATCATCGAATGTAAACAATCTCAAACAAAAATCTTAATGAGGCAGCCAGAAGAAGTTTCATAAGAAGAACCCTACTCGAACAAAGGAGAACCAAACACCCATGCGGGAGTTGGAGATAGTTGTGAAAAAAAGAAAGAACTAACCATAGAAAATGATGCAATGAACGAACGGTAAATGTTATGGAAATGGGTCAAAACTCGCTAGATGGTCAATTAAATTGTCAGCTTTTCAAGAATTCCATCGATCGTGGATCGATCGTGGAGCGTGCGGAAGGGGGCGTTGACAAATGATCTCCCCCAACGTTTGACCTGATTTTGTGAGCAGAGTGGCAGACCAGTGCCGAGAATGACTGACAGGGCTCCTGTAAAAGTGAAGCCCCTCCCCCTTGGAAGAATACAAGTTCGAGAGCCGAAGTGTTCATGCCCTTGAATCTACAATTATTTCTGTAGAGTTGGGAATAATCTTGGCAGGCCATAATTTCCCTTCCTACTTCTATTTCCTTGAGCTATAGCGCCATGGAATAGATATGTATTTTTATTTCTACAATGTATTTTTCATGAGGAAAGAAAAAATACATTGTGGATATTAAGACTTCTCTATTGTTTAATATATTTCTTATTTTAATCATTATCTGACTTAAAAACCCACCTCCTCTTCCCATAATATTCTCTTTATGCGAGGGTGTACGAAAAACAATGAAAACCGAACACTTGGAAATAGTACTTTTTGTTGTAGACTTTTTCCATTCCATCAACTTACATAACGGTTTCTAACTGCTGACCGCTGGCTGATTTTTCCAGAAATATCAGTTAAAAGAAAGAAAAACGTCATACAACTCTGGAGTGGCGTGGAGTGTTGTGCCCCTAATAAAAGAAGGAAGTTGTTATGAGAAATGAAGTATGCTGCACGGTTCGCTGACACGTGCAGAGGGCGCGCACTCACGCAGAGTGCAAGAGAGAGAGAGAGAGAGAGAGAGAGAGATAGAGAGAGGTGGCAGGGGCATACAGCTATTGACAATACCTTTGGCAAAACCTCTGGTAAAGTGTGAATTGTGATTGTTAAACTACCTGCCACTCTGTCGTATACTCACTACCAGGTGCTAGACTCAACAAAACACTCGTATACTCGAATACTATTCAAATTACTTTCATTCAATCTGTGAATGTTTTGCGCTCGATTTCCTCTTTCTTTTTGCTGTTTGACTGTTTGGCTGTTCGCTTTCGTGATTGATTAGCGAAAGAGTCGTCGCAGAGGCGTAGAGTTTCAGGTTTGACGCGTGTTTGACAAATGTTTTCGGTGGATAGTTTTCGAGTATTGTATGGTATGGTATGGTAGTGCCATAAGCTCTCGTGTTACTTTACTCACTTCCGCGTGTTTGGTGGCTTAAACTTTGACTTCCACTGAAGCAGGGAATGGCTTAGAAATAATTGATGTTCTATAAATGAAAGTTGAGTCAAGAAAAGTTGTGACAAATTGATGATAATTCAAAGGTTTGAGATCTTTTAAGGGCAGGAAATCTTTCCACTACAGAGCTGGTTTGACTGTTACTTTTGTTATTTTAAAGAAGCTTCATAGCTTTCATCTCTCTTTGTTTTCCAGAATTTCTAGTACCCGGAACTGTTGTGCCTGTCCGTTAAGTAGAGATTTAACTGCCTTTTCCGTTCGTTATGTAAACGTTACCTAAGTCCCTCTTTTTTGGCATTAAAGTTTGCTCTTTTTTAGAGGTCAGCCAACTGTAAGTAAGCTTTGATTCTAGCAGACCAACACATGCTACCTTCCATATTCCATACTTGTAGTATAGAATATATTCAACATCATGGTGAATCGGTTTATGCCCCTTTCTGCTGTGCTCTCTGCAAGAGCTCTCCTCTCTAATTGGATTAAAAGAAAGGGCGAACCGATCCGACAGAAACCCCCAGAACAAAATGCGCGCAATGTCCGTTGCTCTGTTCTGCTGTGGCTCCGTGGGTCTCTTGCGCCATTCATTCAACCGTTCGACCATCGCTGGTTGATGTTCTTTTGCTTTAATTTAATTAAAAGGTCAATAAACCTTTGAACGAAACCCTTTTTTGCTGGCCGATGAAGAGCTTCGTTCTCAAGCGCTGAAGAGCTTTTTTTTGTAAATCATTTTACAATTAGTTGGGGTATTGAGACCTCAGAATGTTGTAGATCGAGTTTTTCGCATACTACTGTGAGGTATTCTATCCCCCCATCATGTGGATATTTTTTTTTATAGATGTCTTTCAAGAGTCTTTTGTTATGTTTTTCAATACCCTTTTCAAAAGGAGTTTTAAAACTTTCAGGATGTTTGGATATTTTCTCTTTAAAATAAAGAACTTGTGTTTTTTGTTGGGTTATCCAGAACAAAATAGTTGAGTTTCTATAGCAGGGTTCAAAGAAATTATTTGATGACTCTTCCTATAGGAATGTATCCTTTAACTTATGGTATTTTTGCTGAGCCTATGATTTATTTCTTCCAAAATAACTTTTCGTTAAATGCAAATATAAAGTGTATACAAATCCTCGCTTCCTCTGCTTTTGTCGCGCTTTCTTGTTTATATTTTTTGTTTCTCTAAAATTTAATTTGCGTGTTTAAATATCATTAGTTTGCTTGCTATTAAAAACAATAAGCTAGCAGACGAAATTTTTGATGTTACGCTGCTGCCTCTGCCACTTCTGATTTCGGTTTGGTTTTGGCAACAAATTGGCAAAAAACGTAGACAAAACTTGGCTCAAAGTTATTTGAATTTTTTCCGCTATTTTTTCTTTCTTTTTCTAGTATATTTGTATTTGGCTTTTAATGCAACAAACTGTTGGTAAAATTGGTGAAATCTTTCACTAAGGTTTGTTTTTTTAGTTTCCCTCCGATGCACATTTTACTTTCGTTTTTTCTGTTAGTTGTAAATTTTCTATCTGGCTGTCAAGCTAAATTAAAGATTTCTCTCTCTATCTCTCTTTTTGGTTGTTAGAAACTTCCCCTTAAAGGTAGGTTAACTGACTGACAGTTAGCCAGTTGCAGCCATAATTAAAAAGGTTTAAAGTTGATTGAACTTTCAATAGCCATTCAAATGGAAATGAAAAAAAAAATTAATTAAACCCTTACGCCTGACGTTGGGAGAAAGATTTGGCTTTAGTCAGAACGATTAGCAAACCGGTTAAATTACCATCGAACATTTTACTCTAACTGGATTGGCGAGGAGAGGACTACGAAATTTATCTCGTGAAATGTATCTCATGCTAACTATTTACATGGCACATTTCACTGTGTGGAGTTCTGTAAAGGGAAAAAAGTATGGTCTTTGGGAAAATGTTAAGAGAAATGTTCTGAAATCAACATAATTGGGACATTTTAAGGGATTTGCATTGTCACATTTATGATTATGGATAAATATTTTACAATGAGAATTTTAGGGAGATTATTGCAATATTTCAGGTCTGTAAAGGGTAAAATACGTATCCCGACAGTGTGTTTAAATACTTTAAAAGATCATCAAAAGCTGTTATTAAGTTCTTATTTAATTTAAGATTAATATCTCTGAGTAAAAACTGTTAAAACTTTTGTAACTAATCAATTGAATACAATTGATCGAATTCGACTTAAAAAATTGCCTTCTCTCACATTTCCCGATTCTAACCATCCACACGAGTGCAATTTCTTGTACAATGAGTTTATGTCTGCTGTTTTGTCTGGTAAAATAAAATGCCTCTGTAGGCTCTTAGTCATGATGACGACTTTATTTACATACTGCATACATATGTATGCAATTTATATACATATAAATAGCGTATTTAGTGAATGGTGTCATATACCCCAATTAGGGCTTTTTATACCCGGTAATCGAAGAGTAAATAGGGTATATTGTGTTTGTTCACAAAGTGGATGTAAGGATGTAACACACAGAAGGAGACGTTTCCGACCCCACAAAGTATATATATTCTTGATTAGCATCAATAGCCGAGTCGATATAGGCATGTCTGTCTGTCCGTCCGTCTTGTTGAGCGCCTGGATCTCAGAGACCATAAAAGCTAGAGCCACCAAATTTGGCATCCAGACTTCTGTATGCTCACACTGTTACAAGTGTATTTCAAAATTTCGCTCCGCCCCACGCAATTCTCCCACAGCCACAATTTCGAATATATCATTCTGTGGGGATCCGATTGGATAATTACTACAGCCAGAATGAAGAAATTCATTTGCAGTGGTTAAACCCACCTAGCGAGCTAATAGAGCGTGTTGGCGTGAGAAGTGATGTAGATGTAGATGACATATGTAAAAAAATGTAAAATGTAAAATTTAAATAAAACCACTGTTCAGATGTACCACTGAGTACCGGCTATAAAAGTTGTGACGCGTAAAAAGCGTCTCACACGTCCGTCCTATTTTTTTTTGTATTTTCTGGCATTTTTGCGGCTTCTTATTTTATGCATATTTTATGGTGAAATATGGAAAGTATGTTTGCCAGTTTAGTTGCCCAAAAGACAACTCTTTTGAATGGAGGAAACATACATATTAGAAATTACTTCTGATATTGCTGGCTTAAGCCCACTCTCTTAGCCCACGACTTACCTTTCAAACACGAGCTTCTTTGCAGCTTTCGTTCTTTAACAAATTGCCGTCACTGAGATCTGTAATTAAAAATGAAATATCGTGGACATTAGTCGGTTGTAGATCTGATAGATAAAGGAGAGAGAGGTTCGGGGTAAATCTTATAGATACTGGGAGAAAGATAGACGTTGGCATCCTTGAATGTGTGGGGAGTGTGCGGAGCTATCGCTCTAGAGCACTTTGGGCCGTAACCAGTCTTCTAACTGAGCCAATTTTAACTGTAAATGCAGTTAATTACACTCGCTTTAAATCCATGCAATAAATAAATATGTGTGTACTAGTAGATATGTGGACAAAAAAACTTGTCTGTTAATTAGCATCTGCCTCTCGGTAGCACTCGGATGCGCTTTCAGGTATCTTGGTAGTCCAAAGCCTCTTTCTCAAATAATCAGAGAAGCGCTGCAGGGTGGGGGGTGTAGGAAACCTTGCGTGATAGAAAGTGCAACCAACAATCGGCAACCTGTAACCAGAGGGGGCGGAAGCCGCTTAGACCCTCAGAGGGGCACCCAAGAGGCATTACAACTGTCGACTCGACCCTACTTTTCTCTTTAAACATGGTTTCCAGCCAAAAGCAAACGCCGCAAAGAATCCACAAGAAAAGAGAACCCATTTGGGTAACCCAATGCCACTTTTACAAGCCATTCCATTGGGGTAGTCGCAGTGAGGGGAAGACCGAGTTCTGGCGCACTGGCGTATGCCAAGTATTTAAGCAAATAGACCTTCCTTCTCATATGAAAACCAGTTGCGTTTTAGGACTTCACATAGTGAGTGGGAAAGTATTTTTTGAAGCTTCTAGTCGAATTTTACACGTTTTTCTGTGAAAATGTTTCTTTAAAAATCATTTCAGATTCATAGTAAATAGACAATTCTTACAGTATGTAGTTATTTTTTTTTTTTTAGGAGAGACTTAAAAAAAATTAATTAATAAAATTACTAGGTTCCGATTCTTTCTTAAGGAAAAATTCGAGTGGAATTAATTTAATATCTATTATACCTCTGAATTGCAATACAAAAAATTAAATGAATTTTTAACAGATACTCCAAACACATTGACATTGAACCATTCAAAAGAATTCAATGAAAATCGCTGGAAATTACACAACTGCTGGAATTTCTTTTGCCTGTCATTGGAGTTTGCAGATTAACAAAGAAACGCCAGAAATGCTGCAGCCAGCAATAAAATAAATTCAACAGGTTAATACAACAATTAACAATACACAAACCGCAAAAAAAAACCAATGCAAATAAATTAAAGCTCATATAAATTCAGGCAATGTTAAAGACACTGGGAAACGTCAGGGAAAAAAGCGCCATAAAATGATTTTAACATGTTTCTTTGGTGGAAATGTATGTAAATGAATTCCAAAAGTATTTCTCCCTAAAACATATACCACTTTTACTTATTTATATTTTTAAATAAAATAAGCAAATTGTACAGAAAATAAATTACATTAAATCGACAACTGCACCCACACCAAAAATGACACTAAAAATGCTGGAAAACAAGTTTTGTATAACTTTTAAATTAAAATAATCACGAAAAAACATCTGTACACATGTGGAGCGGAATGGAACAATAATAAAAATGTAAATAACAAAAACTACAACAAAAATTAAACGAAAGTTCAGGGCCTGCCATTGTCGTCGCTCCAACCAAAAGAAATTTGAATGAAAATGATGCCTCTGAGTAAGGGTGTAAAAATACTCACGCTCAGGCCCATTGGTGGTCGCCTTTTGTTGGATTCTACTCAATAGTTTCATAACTGGGTTATGGGTCGTACCCATGCATACAAAAGGAAGTTCTATACATTGAAAAATGTGATCATCTGCATAGTTTCGACTTTTAATAGAGCTCCAAAGAAAAGTATATTGTAGCAAAGAATGATCTTGTTGGCTGGAACCCACTAGAGGGAAGTTATTAAGTCAGAAGCCTTTGTAAGATCTTAATAAAGTAGAAATAATGAGGGGAAGTGGTAACCCAGTATGATAAATGAGACATTCCTATGATTTTCAGCGTTTCTTTGTTCCTTATAAATAAAGTTCGACGGCTTACTATCTTACAAGTATTTCTAGCTCTAATTTCAATAATATTTTTAGAAAAGTGTTCTAAAAAATCTCAAAGTCATTTAGCTGGTATTGGGATGTGCCCTGATGAAAGTTGAAAGGATATTAGGAAGATCATCTATTTGCACCTATCTAAATGCTAACCCGAGTGCCATCGACAACTCTACGCCAATTTCTATAATTGTTTTGTTTCAAGTTTTTGCATCAGCGCCCTGAGTTCCCTCGTTGAAAAACACCTTGCTGGCACCCGCATTTCATTTACGAGTAGTACCTACAATTTCCGCAAAACAAAACACCAGCCAATCGACAACGCCATTTCCATTGTACTATTTGAAGACCATGTTAATGTGGTTTTTATCTAAAGTATTTGGCATGCATGTTACTGTTTGTTACCCACAGTTTGCGATATCAAATGCTGGCACTGCCACCTGGGACCGTTTTCCGTGTGGCACAAAACAAGCGAAAATTAAAAATGTAATCTATGCACGCGTTAAAAGAAACATTTCAAATAGGTAGAGTTTTAATTGAAAAAACAAAACTGCGAGATAAATGAGCAACAGAGGGGAGCTCTATGTAAAGTTTACCACATACAGAGAGAGGCCTCTTATGCAATCATCGGTTGAATGAGAGATTCTTTTGGTCTGTCCGACTCTCCACTCGACTCAACCCATAACTGATTAATAGCCAAAATGTTTAAACGAAATGAAAGCGAAAATAACTTTTAAATCATCGCATTCAAAAAGCAGACCTCAAAATACAACGAAAATAAACCAAAAATACCCCAAAACACACACCTACAACACCTTTAAAAAATCAACGTGTTATGGCGGAGAAAAGCCCCCGAAAGCCAAACCCAACTACAATCTCAGGACCACGTCTCCAGCTCTGATAATTCTTTCTTTTTTTCAGAGCTGCAGAAAGACGGTGTTCGCTCTGATGCTCGATGATGTAAACGGGAATTCAAATTTATGGTAATAAAAGAAATAACAGTCAGATTTAAAGTGGTGTGGAACTTAAAGTCCGACTCTAAACATAAAGGTTTGTGGGTCTGTGTGTGCGTGTGTGTACGAAAAATGAGTATACAAAAAGTGAAAGTTTTCACTTTTGTTTCAGTTTCCATTTACCCATCATTTTTTCGTGCGTATTTTGTTTGTGTTTTGGCTTCATTTAAGGTAATTTTTCATTGAGACTCACTGAGTTTAGGGCAGTGATAGGGAATAGATTAAGTGTTGTCGAGTCATTTGAGGGCTTATAGGCAAAGAGAACAAAGGAAATTAAATTATAAGCGAGCTTCGAATTTCGAAACTGGAAAAATATTCATGGATTTGCAGTTTGGAGTTATAGTAGTACAAATTGTCCTTAAATTATGGACTAGATATGTACATTTTTCTGCTGGACTGAGGGCTTCACAATTTTTTTTATACAGTGTTTTTTTTATGCCTACAATTTTTTTGTAAAGAATTTTTAAAGTACCATATTTTGCCTTTAAAAACTTAGAAAAAGTCGAAAAAACGTAGATCCTGTGCTCTTTTCTTGTATTGTATTGCTCATCAATACCTATGGAGAGACGGCTGATTTTTCTTAAAATTTTAAAGTCTAAATTCGCAAAATATACCACACAAAAATCATAGTTTTAAATTTGAAAGCTTAATAGTTTGCAGACGGTTGGCTAAAACCACAAAGTGTTTGGGGATACAACAAATTTCAGACTTGAAAAATTCTTTAAAAAAAAGGTTTTGCAAGGAAAAAAGAAAAATATCAATACACCATTTCTAAACCATATCTTTCAGAAAAATTTAGTTTGGTTCAAAGCGGAATAATCATGTCGGATAGTGTAATTAAGAGGAATAGATTTACTATTAACATATGAAGTTTTGATAAAAAACGGGGAGGAACGGGGAGCACAGAAAATGTTTTTTGAAGGTGTAATAGAGGTAAATATTCTACCGAAAGTAGAAGTGTGTGTTTTGGCTCATAGGAATATGTAAAGAGCGACTAATAAAATCTCACATTCAAATTACCCATTTCATGACGTATTTCCACACACACTACACTAATTTTTCCACAAAGATTCCATCAAATTACGACCTTACATTTCATCAACTTTCCCGACATCTTTCAATATGGTTTCCCCGCATTCCCAACATTCCTTATTGTCATTAGGTAAAAAGTTGACTTAGAAAGTTTTAGATAGAATGCACATGCAACCCCAGAGAAGTGCACTTGTCTCACATATCTTTTCTGTGCTGTGTCTCTTCTCTAATTAAAATCAACAAAATATCAAAGCATTTTGTCGTTGTGCAAGCACAGGGCATGAGGAACAGACCAAAGAGCAAACACTTGGAAATGGAAAACATCTAAGGCTGTGTGGAACCCCTAAACAGGTGAAGGGAGGGGGCGTCTGCGATCCTATCAAATATCAGTCGTCGCATTTTGAAAGACTTAGAACTATGCCGGCATCGGTACTCGACAAAGCAAGAGACATAACAGACAGCCAATGCAAAGGCAAAGGCTCCACAAAGACTCAAAAATTTACATAATTTAACCAAAAAAAAAAAAAACAAAAACAAAATAAAGTAAATCAAAAAGTCTGTTATGTAATCGTGGGGACAGTCGCCCAAAAAAATGGCTAAAGCCAAAGATCGGTGGGGGCAGGAGTTTCTGTGTCGCTCTGTGTTTTTGTGACTCATTCTCTGCCTGCGACATTTTTCCTTTCGGTTGAGCATAAAAAGTTTTGACATTTGCATAGCAGACGACAAAAAAAAAACGAAGAAAATAAAGCCTGACAATGAAAATTAATGAACTGCACAAGTCCAGGGGGCCTCCGGAGCATGGAGGGAGGTAGCCTTCTAACGTGGGCACAGCTCCACTGATATGGCCATAGAGGGACACGTGTGTATCTGTTGATCGGCGGCCCACTTACAGGTCCCCAGTCTGTGTGCTGCGGGGTGCTGGG